TCAAGTACCGGTCTTCCACCCGCTTTCAGAAGCTCCGCTGTAATTCCATCCTCGCCTGGGGCCTTACCGTTTTTAAGGTGCTGGAGAGCCATCCTAATCTCGCTCAGACTGACATCCGGGATATCTTCGGAATAGTGTCGGATGAGACTCGCTCTTGGATCGTTACTCACACTTGCGTGTGGCTCCAACGATGATGTGTACAGCTGCCCATAGAACCTCTCAATCTCACTCAAAATCTCAGGTGTCCCGGAAACGATGCTGCCACATTCTGTCTTCAGCTTTGACAGTTGGCTCTTTCTGGCAGACAGATCTCTGGCAAAGACTTTGGAGCCTTGGTTCCGCTCGATCGCTTCTTCAATACGAGCTGTATTGAAGTTGCGTAAGTCCCGCCGCATGCATTTGGAGATCTGTCTGTTCAGATGCCTGTATGCTGTCAAGTCTGTTGAAGAATGTAGCTTCATCTCCCGTCTAACAGCCATGAGATTAAGAGTGTGATCGGAGAGTTTTTGTGTTCTTCTGCGGCGGGTCTTGCAGAACTTAGCTCCGACCGCATGGACAGTTTCCACGAGCTTGTCATTCATATCGTCCACTTCATTGCAGTCTTCCAGGCACTGAAAACGGTTTTGTAACTCGAGCTGAAAGGTTTCGGGACTTTGGAACAGAGCACGAGGGGGACGGAGCGTTGACTTCATTAGACGAGACCTCTCCAACTTAACGTTTAGGTTCAGTGTGCCTCTAACCATTCGGTGATCGCTACCAGTTTTCACCCTCGCGATCACGGAGACATCACTGAACAGTTGTCGTCTGGTCGTCATAATGAAGTCAATCTCATTTTTTGTGGAACCGTCGGGGCTACCGACCAGGTCCACTTCCTGTGGGGCCGCTTCTGGAAGAAAGAGTTCATCATAAAGAGTCCCTCTTTCTCCATGAAGTCGGCCAGCTGCTGGCCCCTTGGGTTCCGTTGCCCTATTCCAAATTTCCCTACTTTCAGCTCACCGTTCTCTTGTGCCTAGTTTTGCATTGAAGTCTCCCATTAACACCGTATATTGGGTTTTGGAGGAATGCATGGCTCTAGAGATATCCTCATACATTTCCTCCACCTCCTCATCGGGGTGTGCCGAGGTTGGTGCGTAAACCTGTATGACCTTCAGCGAATACCGTTTGGTGATTCTGAGTATAAGGTACGCAACCCTCGTCGACACACTCCCGATCTTTACAACGTTGTTAACGAGAGACTTGTGGACGATAAATCCGACACCTCCTTGGGACAGATGGTCGCCCTCCCGGTGATAGAGCAAGTTGCCGGATTCGAGGATTACCGTGTCCTCCCCCTCTCTTCGGACTTCGGATAATCCTATAATATGCCAGCGCAACTTGTCTATCTCTTCTTCCAGCTCCACGATCTTCTCGTCAGTCCTCAGGGTGCGTGCGTTGTACGTTGCCAGGTCGAGTCGTCTAAGGTGGCAACCGAACCTCCACCGGAGATTCTTAGCACCCCCTGCCCCGCCGTTACCATGGTCGCCACCGTAGCCAGCTGCCCATCTCCTGCCTGTTTCCCTTTGTCGCCTTTTACGACACCCACGGGAGGATATGGGGTAGTGGATATTCTTGACCGCCACTACACGGCTTTTTTTTTTTGATAATAAAGATTATTTATTTATTTATCTCAGTAATCTAATCGAGTTGAGCAGCCCCTTTCTAACCATACCATCGTTCACACAATCCATTAATCATTTAACTATCCTAACGTATTCCTGAATCTTCAGCATCCTATGTTCATACCATATGACAATCAATTTCCATGCAACATTTCGATCAATAGGGGTGGCTGCGCCAATTCAGACTTCCATTTCCACACTCATTTATAATTATATCCCATTTGTGTAACACCACAAAATATCAATTTTATAGTGTTTACAACCTGCAAGTTGTAATGACTTCCACCAGTAACGTAGTTAGTGGTAGATACTGGAGGTAAACGAGAGAGTAAGGATTAAAAATAAATAAAATAACAATAATGGATACTGATTAAAATCATTTATTCGTGACGAAATAATATTATTTAGTCAGAAAATTTATTTTAGACACATGAACCACATCACCCTTAAGCCGAACTACATCCAGCGTTCTATTTATACATTCTTTTTCAAAATGCAAGGAGCATATTCTTCTTACTAGCTTACTACTGCAGGTTTTATGTTTTCCTGGCCTATATTATCAATCCACAATTTTTGAAGGCCTTCATTTTTTGGCAACCTAAAATAAATATTATGCATCCTTAAGTACCAATCAAAAATAATCTTAACATCATCAAATCTTTTGATGAAAAAACTATTATAGAAAATTTACGATTTACACTATTTTCAAGTTCTTTTCTTAAATGAAAGGCTCTCAATCGATCGTTTGATTTAGTATACAGTTTACGTATCTAAAACGTTATTTGGTCAAAGGACTACATTAATATTATTGTTAAAATATATGACAGGCCTGTTGGTCTAGTGGTTAGTGACCCTGACTGCTATGCCGGAGGTCGTGGGTTCGATTCCCACCCAGAACAAATGTTTGTGTGATGAACACGATCATTTGTTCTGTGTCTGGGTGTAATTTATCTATAATATTTATGTATTTAGAAATATATAAGTATGTTTATCAGTTGTCTAGTACCCATAACACAAGCTCTGCTTAGCTTGGGACTAGATGGCGTTGTGTGATAGTTGTGGAATATTATTATTATTATTATTATTATTATATCGATAATTTCAAAACATGAAAGCACGTAAGGGCAACACTGTGTAAAAATGTAAACAATCAAAACGTTTACTTGTTTAAATTTACATGATAATAGTCATTGGAAATTCTAGATAATAGCGGAAAACATGATTTAGAACCCATAACATGAACACGAAACGCAATTACACGAAAAAATATACAATTATGGAAAAAAATTACAACTAACCTGAAAAATGACAATCCTTCTTCATTTTTACGAGAATTTGAATTACATCCATTGATGCAACACTTTATCATGTTGTTTTTGCTCAATTACCCTTTACTAATGAACAAAAGATCTCCAAAATAGTCAAAATTCACTGTAACACTGGAAATTTACTCCGAACAAGGCTTAGATGACAGACGAACTACGACAAATGAACGTCATCCTAAACTGGCGTCATGCTTCAAGGTGGAGCTTGGTGAAATTATTAAAACTGTCAACAGAAAATTGAAGTCTAATGGCGCGTCTCCACCAAAGTTTTCAACATTTGTCAACACGTGTTCCCGACAAATGTTTCTGTAATCACCTAGTTTTAGCAACAAAACGAAACAATGTCGGGAATCGTGTTTTCATTTTCGGCGGCAACATCATAGGAATACGCTTGTTGCCGACATTTGTTCCCTCGGTGGAGACGCTTCTTGCAACATTTTGAAACAAATTTCGTCAACTTTTGTTGATTTGTCAACAGTCGGAAACATAAATGTCAACATTTATGTTTCCAATTTCCAACTGTTGACAAATCAACAAAAGTTGACGACATTTGTTTCCGAAATGTTTCAAAATGTTGCAAGAAGCGTCTCCACCGAGGGAACAAATGTCGGCAACAAGCGTATTCCTTTGATGTTGCCTCCGAAAATGGAAACACGATTCCCGACATTGTTTCGTTTTGTTGCTAAAACTAGGTGATTACAGAAACATTTGTTGACAAGACGTGTCGACAAATGTTGTGTTGGCAAAAAACTTTGGTGGAGACGCGCCATAAGATATGTACTTATCTTTTTTTACATTTGAAAATCATAACGTGTGAGAATGAGACATATATTTTTGTCGGCAAGGTTCATGTTATTGAGACACTCAGACATGATAGAGTGACTTGAAAGTGTACTTTGATGACTGCTACTGGAACTCCTCGACGAGCAGAACTAGATGGGCCGCGTTTAGCCTCGTTTTGTTAGTTATAGAATATAAAAGATATATAGAATAGACCTTACCTCTGGACTTGACGGACTGACTTCAAGGTATAGTTCGTTGACTGATACTGGAACTCATTGACGAATAGACCTACAATTTGCAATTTTTTCTTCTTCACTTCACGTCTGGGAATTGTTTACAACCGCTAAATTCGTCTGGCGATTTGCAGGTGTTATTAAAAATTACTCAATAAATACGTGATTAAAATTTGAGATTGCCAAAAGTATATTTTTTGGGAATAAAAAAAATATTTTTGGAGGTCTGGTAATACTTTATAACCGACATAAACGTCTGGGATTATTTTTTTTTTAATTATATAAAAGCTAAATTAAAAGATAAAAAAGAAATCAAGTTGCCAAAAAACATTTTTAGGGATTTTTTTTTGCAAATGTATATACTGCGCAGTAACAAAATAACCGCAAACGCTCAGCCAGACTCGCGGGACTGGATTCGCCAATTGACGAAATTATATTTTTTCACAATTTCAACTTGCCCACAGGACCTTCCCAAAATTCGTCGCCAGCTCTCATACCTAGCGAACCATTTTACGCTTACCTATATAATTTTTCCACTAACTTTGACAGATTTAACGTCAAAAACGTCAGAATTTAGTTAAATGTACGGTCCATTTCACGATTAGTTAGTAACAAAGATATTTAAGTAGTTAGTCTACCTATATATTTCAATTTCTTTGGTTAGTTATTTACCAATATTTTTAACCCCACACAGTGACATAATCCTCAAATTCAGGCGACTTAATTTCAAACCCAACCCAATTATGTACTTAAATTATTAATTGAACATTAAAAATATGGATATAGATCAACGAATAATATATATATTTTTGGTAATTGATACTTCATAAAACAAAAATATACTGATTTGTTTTGTTACTCGGGCATAGTTACGACGTCACGATTTTTTATCTGAAATACAAAATTATTGTTTCATATATTACAAGTTTTTGCTTTAGCCTACCTTTACGACACTTAAGTTATGGGTGGACCCAAAAGTTGTAAATGAGAAAAAACAAATGCAAATTTCCAATTCTTTATTCATCAATATTTTAATGGAGCCTTTTTTTTTTTTTTTTTTTTTTTTTTTATAGGAGAGGGGGCAAACGAGCATGCGGCTCACCTGATGGTAAGTGACTACCGCCGCCCATGAACAACCGCAACACCAGGGGAATTGCAGATGCGTTGCCGGCCTTTTAAAAAGGAGTAGGCTCTTTTCTTGAAGGTCCCTAAGTCGTATCGGTCCGGAAAAATCGCTGATGGTAATCGATTCCACAAGGAAGTCGTGCGAGGAAGAAAACATCTTCTAAATCGCACAGTGGTGGACCGCCAATCATCCAGATGGTGTGGATGGTATCGGGAGTTCTGCCGCGATGTGCGTTCATGAAATTTGGCGGCTGGGATTAATCCGAACAATTCCTCAGAGCACTCCCCATGGTAGATGCGAAAGAAAATGCAAAGAGATGCAACATCTCTTCGCAGTGCCAATGAATCGAGCCGATCGGAAAGGGCTCGGTCGTCGACGATTCGAGCCGCTCTGCGCTGGATGCGGTCAAGTGGAAGGAGCTGGCACTGGGGAGCCCCTGCCCAGAGATGGGAACAGTATTCCATGTGAGGCCGAACCTGCGCCTTGTAAAGTTGCAGGCGGTGTGCCGGCATGAAATACTGTCCCGCTCTGCTGAGCACGCCAAGCTTTTTAGAGGCCAATTTGGCCTTCTCTTCCAAGTGACCACGAAACTGCAAGCCTTTATAAAGCATTAAATCCCCCATATCTTATCACAGGCTTTCTGTGTTTAATAAATAGTTATATTGTATTTTCATTTAATAAATATTTATACAAAACAATTAATCCATGTGGTAGAAACGTGGGCTTAAATATTGCGAGGGTTTGTTATTAGATAACGGTGTTGAAGTGGCCATGATGTACGGAGGAATACGCCTCTTTTCAGAGAATGGGCTTACTCGAGAATAATAGCGGCGTTCTATTACCTGAAATAAAAAAAACGAGCTTATGAATAGTATTAGTAATATAACATACCAGTTGTCACCTAGTGGTCAACTATCTAGTGGTGGTGGAATTTTGACCAATGAAAATGATGAAATTTGACCAAAATTAATGAATTTCTTATGTTATATAAAGCAAGCTGTATTTCATTTTCAACTGCTCATAAATATATAAACCACAAATGTCTAATATACAAAATGCGTATTTTTGTCTTAGCATACACTTTACACAATTTTAATAACTTAAATTGAAAATTTTAAAACCCCCGAAAGGAACCCTACCGCATCTAAAAAACAGCTGATGACCTTGAAACGGCTGAATCGATTTTGATAAAATATTTATCTAAGAACCACCACTAGAACACCTCCTTTTAAATTAAAAAAAAACCGCACCCAAATCGGTTTAAGAGCTACCGTGCCACATGCACACATACACATAACAGTCAAACTTATAACACCCCTCTTTTTGCGTCGGTTGCGGACGGCGACATCGACGAACGCGGTCATGCGCAGCATTCGGTCGATCCGGCACCCCAGGTACGTCACGGCCTTTTCATATGTGATTCCCTGGCCCCTGAGCGTCAACGGTGATGGGAAGTTCCTGATGCCGCGAGTGAGCAGAGCAGTCGTCTTGCCAACATTGACGGTCATCCTCCACTCGTCCAGCCATGGTGGCAGCAGGTCCAGCAGGCGCTGCATCCTGCCAGTGGCTATGTGGGCTCTTCTAGACTATGTGAAATAGGCACTATCGTCCGCGTATAGCGCTAATTCAACATCGTCTTCCCATTCGCCCAGGTGGTCTGCCAGGGTGGGGATGTCATTGGTGTACAGGATCGGCGAAAGACAACTGCCCTGTGGTACGCCGGCTCTAATTGGTCTCGCTGCGGACTTGGCGTCCTCTACACAGACGTAGAACTTCCTATCTCTGAGAAATGACGCCACTAGCCGCAACATAACTGATACGGCGGTAGCTACGCCCCTGTTGGCAACATTATTTCTTCACTTGTGTGCGTTTCGTCTAGCGTAAACACAAGTTGATAGATTTTGTACTTGCCCCACATTTGAACGTCCGCTTTGTAGGGAACTATCGTTCTAGGTGTTATTATTCTAAGCCTATGTATGGTCAAGTGTAAGTATTATAATTAGGTACTATAACTATTATAACGCCTACGTACTATATATACGGCCTACTACGAAGTGTTTATAAACTTGGCAAGTTCCGATCAGTTCAGTTTCTGACCCATAGATAAGGTAATATAATCGGGAGTTCTGACCTTAAACAGAAATGCTTAATTTGGTACTATGAACTACGCTTAGCTCAACTGTTTTAAACCCATATAACGGCTTTGCTCACGGGTTAGCATTGTCTCTGTCTTGTTTTGGCTAACCGTTCGAGTGAGAGGACGCTATATAAATGTTACATAAGTTTATCTCTTTAATTTTAAGGTCGGTCTTAAAGTGAAACCCATATTCTTGTAGTTTTTTAATGCTAAATAAATTATTACCACTTGAAATGAGGTAGTAATATGCTTTTAAGATATTCAAACATAATAAAAACCTTTTTTTGTTTCTACGAGTTTTGTTTATTAATTTACGATGACGACGAGGAACTAAAGTGGATTTTTGAATATATGTTTTCGATTTGAGATGTGATTGATGGTGTAAAGTCACTTAAGTCGAGGCGAAATTTAGTTTGTGTGCTCTTTTTGAGAATTTATTATAATATGAGCTGTGTCTGTGTGTCAAGTGGATAATAAATTAGTTACCATGTTCATTTTAAATGTAAGCACCCTTCGTACCGTAATAAATTAATGGAATTGTGTGGTTTGGTTAAGATTTAAGGCGAAATGTGATTTCATTACTAAAGAAGCAATGGCTGAAGCACAACGTCGGCGTCGCGTAACATACTCTCAATTAGAAATCCTATGGGAGTTTTTAAATTCCAATAGGGATGTTGCAGTGGGCTTTAATAAAAGTGCACAAGCTCGAGAAACTTCCCGCCGCATGTGGGAGGAGGTAGCCCAAGCCCTCAATTCATTTGGAGATGGTGCCGTTAAGGACGGAAAAGGCTGGTCTGCCGTAAGTATTATGAGTAAATATTTATCATAGTAATTGTTTTTCTGTCTATGGACTGTTGAAGTTGAAAACGCATATTATTTATATGAATATTCAAAATAGCTTTCTTTTTTTCAGTATTGGATTGATTACAAGGGGAAGCTGAAGAAGCGGTGTGCTACTATTAGATCTGCGCAATCTCGAACTGATGGAGAGCCATCTAATGTTCCACAGCTGTCGACTTTAGAAAAGAAGTTTTTAAATATTGTAGGTGAAGATTTTGGTTTGGGCCTTCCTGGTATTCGTGTAAATCCATTTGAAGATTCAAATATTCATGTAAGTTTTTTCTTGTATCTCATTAAACCATGGGGTGGCCAAAGTTTAAATTTTATTTGATTTAAGCTAAGATATCTATTTTCGCGATAACTTATTTAGTTATTTGTAGATATATTGATTAAATTTTGTGCAATGTACAATACGAATTCCGCTACGTACGTTTTGTAGTGACAAAAGGGTTTAATTCGCAGGCTGCATCAACTTCAGATATGTCCCAAATACCTCTACAGGAGGTCCAACAGTCCTTGGAACAAGAAGTTGTTCTTAATACCATTGAAGTCATTGAGGGTGTTAATCTCAGGAGTTCACTGGTTCAAGAGCAGCAACAGCTAGAGGCTGAAAGTGAACCACCAGTACTTGTAGACGTACATGCTCCTGAACCTTGTATATCTTATACTGTACCTACACGTACTCCAGAGGCACATCCCACACAAGCGGTTTCTGTTGCACCAACTGGAGGTGAACAACAACAAAGAAGACGACGCCGTCGACGTGTGCGTTTTACTCAGGAAGAAGCAAGAAGAGCCTTGGTTAAGACGTCCCAATTGCGGGCTGAAACGGAGGCTCGTAATAGCCGCAATATTACGGAGTTTGTGCAAGTGCTTCATCGAATTCAAGATGTTTTGGAACGCATTGAGAGAAGGTTGGTTAGAAATATTTATGTTGTTCATAGAATAAACTAAGTTAAGGGTAAATCAGCACTTAAAATTTCAATTAACATTTTCACTGCTGACAGGTATCGAACCCAAATTGTTTGCATATTATGAAATATTCGGCACTATTTGATGATAATTATAAATTACGATAGCAAAATAAATGCGAGAATAAGTCCAAAATCTGCACATAGATATAAAAAAGTAGGAAGGGTTTTTAGTTTGTATAATATTTAAATTTTTGAATATTTATTTGTTGATCATAATTCATAAGTACGTCATAAAAGATGTTAAAAATTGTGTTATGTCCCATATGATCTATCTAAAATATCATTTATTGGCATAAAAATAATATATAATTATATGTAGGTCACTCAATAAGTTTTGAGATATACAAAAAGTATTCTAGATACTATTAATATTTATTTTACATCTTTTCAAAATATTCTCCATAATGCTCTATACAGTTCCATTCGTCTAAACCAACTCTGAAAACACTTTTGCCAGTCTTGATCTGACAGGTCGGAAATCGCTTCTTCGTAGGCAGCCACGGCTTCTTCGACGTTTGAAAAAACATGACTTTTCATTTTTCTTTGACTCTTGGGAACAAAAAGAAATCACAAGGAGCTATATAAGCTATATAAGTCAGGGTTGTAGGGTGGGTGTTAAACCAAATTTAAAATCATAATATATCATAGCGCGCAAATGTTCACGGTTAAGATCCAACGTTGAAAAAGAAAAGCGCGGGAAGCATTGCAGGAAAATTAATAGGACTTTGTTTTTTTTTTTAATATTGAGTAATTGCTCAATATTAAAAAAAACACAAAGTTTAAAAAAAATCAAAGCTTATGGAGTTCTATTTTTAAATAAATTAATTTGCTTTTTAGAAACATATAACACGGGCATAACACAGGCGTTCCGTTTTTAAATTTCGAGCATCTCAAAACTTATTGAGTGACCTACGTATTACACACAGATTGCCTCATAGGGACAACACTTGCGATAGTTGCCACAGTTGGTAAGCGGGTTGGCAAACGCAGTTTTTAATTTTTAATCGTTACTAGAAAGACGCTGTTGCTCTCTTTTGCCTCTTAAGACACGTGGGATATGTGGTAATGGATATTCTTACACCGCCACTACAAGGTACAAAAACATATATTGGGGGCTAATTAGTATGGAATAAAAGCCAACATTTTTCGAAATATAATTAAGAATTTTTATCTGTCTGAACATCACGTAAAACAGCATTATCGACAAGAAGTAATACATTTGTTATTTAGTTTATTTACAGTTAATGGAATAGGTAATAAATTTACCAAGTAACAACTGTTAATTTTGCATCCCAACTCATGCTGTAACAAATTAAAATGTTTAGAATATTTAAATTGTAGTGATTACAACTATAAAAGTTTGTCATTTACTAATAATCTAAAATAAAAACAACACAATATTAATAGTCTATGTATATAAATCTAATAGAAAAATTTAAACAAAAAAACAATAGTTTTAAAATCAAATTTATTTTCAGGTTGCCCTCCGCCATATCCATGGGCGATTGATAAGGTCACTTCTGACCGTTATGCCTTCTCGGAGCCCTGGATTTTGTGCGGCCCTAGAATTTACTACAGAATCCTGGCAGGGAGAAGTCAATCGATGCGATTAATGCTCATACAAAGCTACCTCTGGCTGCAGCCCTTCTACACTGACATTATCCTTATTGCATATGTTGTGAAATATCACACATGCATTTATAATAGAAGCCACCATGTAAGGCTCATAATGTAACACTATACACTAGGAGACATCTGAAACATGGCATTTATGTATATTATGTACCTATCTATTTGTTATTATGTAAAGTCCCTACCAAGAAGCCATATCATCTTGTTTGTGCTGAGGCCTTCCATGTGTGCCTTCAAACGGTGATTAGCCCATATAAAAGCATCATGTGAAGCTCCCCATAGCTTGCGTCCACACTGATTATTATATCCATGTCTACATTGCATATCTAAAATATTAATTCAAATATATACATAATGATTCAGTGTTTAAATGATTTATGTATCAATAAAATTACATTTATTGAATTTGTGGTTTTATTACAATATTTCTTACCAACTGCACATTTAAAGAATGATAGCTACTGTTTTCTACAGTAATGTCTCTCTTCATTTTGTGAAGGACGGACCATTGCCACATATGTAAAATCAATGCAGTCTAAATCTCCAGGCATCTCAAATTTGTTGTAAAATCTACAAAGCCATATTTAATCACTTAATTATAAATCTTTGCTGAGCTTGCTGCATGATATGGTAGATACCAGTGAGCATATTATTAATGTTCAATGGTTCTAATAATAGAAGTTGTTCTTATAATCAATTAAAATTATGTTTTAAATTTGTACTTACATGTACAGCATGAAGCTCTTGGAAATCTTATATATATTGTTCTCAATGGGAGCATGCCATAGAGAGACAGTGCAATTAAGACCTAAAAATAATTGTAAAAACTGTAAAAAAAAATATAAAAAATATTCAGTACGAATTTTTGCTAAAACTGCATTAAATACACATCACTTTTAGTAATGTTTTACTAGTAATGAATGATTTAATTAATACTCAACCTTGGTTTCGATTAACAAATCAGTAAACTTAGCAGGCTTTGTCATACAAGGTCTTAAATCATCACAAAGTTCCAACACTAAGTTTTTGCTTAAACGATATCTTTTTACAAATTCACCATCACCGATCGAAAACGGGTCGATTTAGCTGCGTAATATTGTTCTTTCAATTTTGTCCTCCACAATTTTGCTTTCATTTTACTCTTTGAGGAACTCAAAAGTTTCGTAATCATCAGACACTGAAATTAATGCACAAAGAGGAATTAGAAAATTTTAATATGTATATTATGTAAATAATATAACAATTTTAAAGAGATTTTAACCCAATTAAGCATGTATAACTTCAAGAAATATTTTTAATACTTACTATTATACTATTAGAATATTAAACGTTTCAGAAAAAGCTCCCACCAAGCAACTTTTATTGAAGTGTTTAATATGACAGATATACTGTTCAATAAACGGGTCACAACTCTGTTACAAACGTCTACCGATTTAAAACGTTGAGCTAGCTTGCCGGCCACTGAAATGTTTCGTTACGTCATCACAGGTTGGCCTGCACCCTGCAATAAGACGCGTTCGTAGTACGACAAAGCAAGGCTATTCAGTTTACGGTCTTAAACTGACCGGCAATAAGACTTCGTAGTAGGCCCCCAGATCAGTAAACTAATATTATCAAGGATGATTTATTTCTTGTCAATTTTTTACGCTATTTATTTTGTTTGAAAAATGCGTTGTTTATTTTCTTTTATTATTGTTTATTTTATTATTTTAACCGATATATATCAACTTGTATTAACTGCTATGCTATTTAACGTGATAACCTTAGCGCCACCCAGTATATAATCTTGTTAATATAAAAATCAGAAAACAAATTAGGAAAAAAAGAAGGTGCAGGCGATGGTGAATGACGGAAATTCATCAAAATAGAACAAGGTTTGCAGATCATTTTTAATTGATGTAATTATAATGTGTAAGAAAAGTATTTATTTTAATTTTGAATACTTTCTGTTGCAGCTTTACTATGCAAAAACAATTGGGATAGCTAGTTGCTGAACCAAGTGGAGAATTCAAAAAGTTTACTAGAATGTCAACAGTTGATTTTGAATATTTACTTAACACGATTTCTCCATTAATAAGTAAACAAGGGCCGGCCATATAGCTCGAAGAACCGACAACCGATGGGAAAAAAAGGTTCTCTATGGGCGGCCTCGTACCGGTGAACGAAGTGTTGGGCGTCTCCCCTCTACATGGAGTGACGACTTGGTAAGATATGCAGGAAGTCGATGGATGCAGGGGGCTCGGGACCGTGTTGCGGCATTCCTTAAGGGAGGCCTATGTTCAGCAGTGGACTTATGAAGGGCTGTAATGATGATGATGATGAAGTAAACAAGATACACAACTGCGACTAGCTTTATCAACTAAAATGCGTTTAGCAATAACATTAAGATACTTGGCGACGGGAGATAGCTTTTAAAGCCTTAATTTTTAGGGTTCCGTAGGCAAAGGGCAAAAAACGGAACCCTTATGGATTCGTCATGTCTGTTTGTCCGTCTGTCCGTCCGTATGTCACAGCCACTTTTTTTCCGAAACTATAAGAACTATGCTGTTGAAACTTGGTATGTAGATGTATTCTGTGAACCGCATTAAGATTTTCACACAAAAATAGAAAAAAGAAACAATAAATTTTGGGGGTTCCCCTACTTAGAACTGAAACACAAAAATTTTTTTCATCAAAACCATACATGAAGGGTGTCTATGGATAGGTCTTCAAAAATGATATTGAGGTTTCTAATATCACTTTTGTCTAAACTGAATAGTTTGCGCGAGAGACACTTCCAAAGTGGTGAAATGTGCGTCCCCCCCCCTACCCCGTAACTAGCATGATAAAACTAAAACAAATATATGATGTACACTATCATGTAAACTTCCACCGAAAATTGGTTTCAATGAGATCTAGTAAGTAGTTTTTTTTTTAATACCTCATAAATCTTAAATCGTAATTTACCTTTCATTCAATCAACTCAAATATAAAAATAAAATAAAATACACTATTATTAAAACTAGTTAGAGGTTAAAAATGGTTAGAGGCACACTGAACCTAAACGTTAAGTTGGAGAGGTTTCGTCTAATGAAGTCAACACTCCGTCCCCCTCGTGCTCTGTTCCAAAGTCCCGAAACCTTTCAGCTCGAGTCACAAAACCGTTTTCAGTGCCTAGAAGACTTTAATGAAGTGGACGATATGAATGACAAGCTCGTGGAAACTGTTCATGCGGTCGGAGCTAAGTTCTGCAAGGCCCGCTGCAGAAGAACACAAAAACTCTCCGATCACACTCTTAATCTCATGGCTGTTAGACGGGAAATGAAGCTACATTCTTCAACAGATTTGACAGCATACAGGCAACTGAACAGACAGATCTCCAAATGCATGCGGCGGGACTTACGCAACTTCAATACAGCGTGTATTGAAGAAGCGATCGAGCGAAACCAAGGCTTCAAAGTCTTTGCCAGAGATCTGTCTGCCAGAAAGAACCAACTGTCAAAGCTGAAGACCGAGTGTGGCAGCATCGTTTCAAAATCAACTGTTGACATTCTAGTAAACTTTTTGAATTCTCCACTTGGTTCAGCAACTAGCTGTCCCGATTGTTTTTGCATAGTAAAGCTGCAACAGAAAGTATTCAGAATTAAAACAAATACTTTTCTTAGACATTATAATTACATCAATTAAAGAAAAAGATCTGTATATATATATACAGGCTGGCCCAGTAATGGTAGATAATCTGGTACGTACGTGTTCGGGCAAGGGAGAGGTGGCCTCGGATGGTCGGGATACGCACTAACCATATTTAACAAAAACCAAACACGAATTCATACAATGGAGAATCTGTCGATCCTCACATTAATCCTAAGCACCGTTTGTCTCGCTTACACAGCTTAGAACTCGTCCAAACAAGGCGAGCAGGTAGTAAAGTAAAATTTTCAAGGGCAACAAATGTACTTACCTAATAAAGACATGCAATGTTTAAAAAAACTATCTGCCGATAATTTTGTAATTTTGTAATGAAATGCCTACTTTTACACATTAACGGCTATAGCTCAGTAAGTAATGACATGAAGTACATGGTATGCTAATGTTTTAGAATCCTTATGATATAGGCAAACTTTTTAAATGGTTGGCCACACAGATCCTATACGTTTTTTTTTTTCACCACAGGTGCTCAAATTAACAGTTAAATAAAGTAAAAAATTTAAACTTATGTTTGTGCCGTCTTGTAAAATACTACCCATAGTAGTTGAAAACTTTTAAGGGTAATTTAGAAACATCATTATTAGGGACACATTAAAAGAAAAAAATCCGATCTAGGCATTAAACTGAGTACATGATGACAACAAATGTGAGCAGAAGTACGAATTTTCGGAATTTTATAAAACATGACGTAAAGCGCGAACCGTTCGGGATAGAATTTTTTTTAGGGAACCTAGGCCACCTCCTCTCCGCCCGAACACGTACGTACCAGGTTATCCACCATTACTGGGACAGCCTGTATATATAGTATGCAAATACACACAAAACTAAAGCCCCTGCACTATCAAAATCGTCCATACTGGTAGCGAGGAGAACAGTATGTGAGAAACGTCGTGACTGTGAACCAACACTTGTTTTTTGGCGAGTAATCTCGGCGAGCCTTCTCGCGAAAGTCTGGAGAAGTGTTTAGATTCGCAATTGGACCTAGTGGCTGGCGCTGTTATAGAGACCCAGAAATCAACCGTGCAAAGCCGGGGCGGATCGCTAGTAAATATATAAATAAAACTTTAGCTTTCTGCAATCCTTCATATCAACTTTAACTATACCAAATCTCTCATTTCTCCGTGCGCACAATATTATTAAAAAGGAGCACAGGTTTCCCTTCACGTATTAATATATAGATAGAAAATACGAAATCTCTTAATACGGACCTTGTCGAAAAATCGCGTCAACTTCACGGAGTTACTTGTACCAGGAGCAAGAGATCTGAAAAATAATTATTACTAATCATTACAGACTTGTGGCAAGATGTGAACGCCTTTTATATATCTATCACCAAGGCGAAACCATGAATAATGTTTCATAAAAATTATACTCACTGAATAAAAACCTGTTACAACCATGTCTGAAAAAAACTCAAATATGAAAGCTGGCAAAATATGCCATTCATGTATGCTGTAGCACGAATGTGTAGGCTCGATTGGTGAAAGACCACTCTCTCACAGAATACCAGCTTAAAATAGCAACTCAATGTTGCAATTTCAATGATTTACTGAAAACGAGACATTCCATCTTTATCACTAACTACATACAATAACGCATCTGCATTTTGATTCTTAATTGAGGATAATAGATGTTTATGGACCATAGCATCCACTTACCATGGACTGTGAGCTCGTTTATCACCCTTATTCTAAAAAAAATGCCAATACTCGGCAAAATGTCCCATTTTTCTCGAATGTCTATCGAACTCCAGTCTCGAGAATTTCGAGAATGGAGAATCGAGAATTTCGAGTCGAATTGAATGAAATCATCATCAAATCAAATTTAACCAATCACCGTTTTTAACAATGGAGCAATATATAATTAGATTAAAAAGAAACCCATTTCGTATTTTCTTTATAGGATTAGGGTGACAAACGAGCACACAGTCCACCTGATGGTAAGTGGTTGCTGTGGCCCATAGACATCTACATGTATCTTCGATTACGAATCAAAATGCAGATGCGTTGTCAACCAGGACTAAGATGGAATGCCTCGTTTCCAGTAAAAAGGGTCTCTGGTTCTCTACACTCACCATACGAAACACAGCAGCATTAAGCTGCTATTTTATGCTGGTATTTTGTGAGAGCGTGGTCCTTCCCCGGTCGAGCCGACCCATTCGTGCTACAACTATACTATATTAATAGAGCTGCAGCATGGCTCTACCACGTACCACGTAATCTCTACGGATCTATATAAAAGAAAATTTTAGATGCAAGCTAATAATTTATTACTTAAAATTTTCCTAAACCTCTCTTTTTAAGGCAGTTTTGGCACTGGTGCAGTTTTGGTAATGTCGTAAGGTTCTCAAAATACATACAAAAACTTTAATATCATAGACCATAACATTTTTGCATGCCTTTAGCGAAAACGCAAGGTATGTTCTACTATCGCCTAAAAATGAAGATTCCAACGTTTTATCGAATAAAATTGTATCTAGGAATCATATTATACATATAAATGATATAAAAAGCACATTGTTAGAAAGATAAATGATTGTTGAACTTAAATATTTTTTTAAATCGATTAATTGCTATTTTAAATAAAAAAAGGGGTTTTAGTGGCTTATGCTGTGGATTTATCATGTCCCCAAGGCTTGTAAACACGATAACTTTTGAAAATATCAATTGTTTAACTCAATCTATTTTTTAAACTCTTCATCTATCATGTGAGAAGCCACTGAATGTAAATGGCAGTGTAATTTTGTTTTGTTTAGCTATAATGAATTTTTTTCGGATACAAAATGTCGAAATTTTCGTTGATTTGGTAGCCTTGTATGTAAATTATTTCTGTAAATAGGGAGCTACAGCCACAGAGTACTTTAATCACTCACTCAGTCCGGCGTCAGTCGCCGTCGTGAGTGGACATTGTTTCGATTGTTTGCAGCGGCTCAAAAAGATCGCTGTACAAATACACAATATTTGAATAACCAAATTTCTTAAATATTTGATTATTTTAATAATAAGAGATTTTTTTATTACAATATTTTATAAGCACAGAATAAATAATAGTAGTACGTACTAAAAGTAAGTAGTATAAATTTTTTGTCATGGGTGACATTTTCATGGTTTTCGAGGGTGTTGAAACCGATCATCATTACAGCCTTCACAAGTCCACTTCTGAACATAGGCCTCCTCCAAGGAATGCCATAAAGCACGGTTCTGAGCCACCTGCATCCATCGACTTCCTGCATATCTTACCAGGTCGTCACTCCATCTAGTGGGGGGACACCCTACACTTCGCCTGCCGGTGCGAGGCTGCCACTCGAGAACCTCTTTTCCCCATCGGTTGTCGGTTCTTCGGGCTATATGGTCGGCCCATTGCCACTTCAGCTTATTAATCCGTTGGGCTATGTCGGTCACTCTGGTTCTACTGCGGATATCCTCATTTCTAAGTTTATCACGCAGAGAAACTCCGAGCATAGCCCTCGCCATAGCTCCCTGAGCGACCTTGAGCTTCCTCATCCGGCCAGCAGTGAAGGACCACGTCTCAGTTCCATATGTCATCACTGGCAACACGCACTGGTTGTACAGTCTCTTTTTCAAGTTTTGAGGTATACCTGACGAGAAGATGTGCCGTAATTTCCCGAACGCTGCCCAGCCGAGTTGAATCCGTCGATTGACCTCTCGGTCGAAGTTGGACTTACCTAGTCGGAACATTTGTCCCAGGTAAACATACTCGTCAACAACTTCAAGCTTAGTGCTCCCAACAACTACCCGCATAGGTGTGACATGGACATTAAACATGATCTTTGTTTTGTCCATGTTCATATTAAGATCTACCCGTTGGGAAACACTATTAAGGTCATTGAGCATAGTGCTTAGGTCCTCCAGCGATTCTGCCATAAGGACTATATCGTCGGCAAATCGAAGGTGAGTGATTAACTCGCCATTGATGTTGATACCGTATCCTTTCCAGTCCAGAAGCTTGAAAACGTCTTCCAATGCAGCGGTGACGAGTTTCGGGGATATAACGTCACCCTGTCTTACACCTCTCTGCAATTGGATAGGTTTCGTACTCTGGTTCTGTACTCGGATAGCCATCGTAGCCCTACTGTACAAGCACCTCAACACTACGATATACCGACAGTCAATTTGGCACCGCTGAAGGGACTGCAACACCGCCCAAATTTCGACGGAATCAAAGGCTTTCTCATAGTTCACATACGCCAGACATAGTGGCAAATTGTACTCCTCGTACTTCTGTACAATTTGCCGAAGGATGTGTATGTGGTCTATGGTGCTAAAGCCTTTTCGGAAACCGGCTTGTTCGGGAGGCTGGAAGTCGTCAAGTCTGCGCGCGAGACGATTCGTAATGACTCTCGAAAACAGCACGTAGACGCGGCTCAGAAGGGAAATCGGTCTGTAGTTCTTCAAGAGAGCGTTGTCACCTTTCTTGAAGAACAAGACCACCGCACTTATGCTCCACGCGTCCGGTGTAACGCCACCATGGAGGATCTGAATTAAAGAGCTTCTGAAGGACTTCCAAGTACCGGTTTTCCACCTGCGTTCAGAAGCTCCGCTGTACCCACCCTCGCCTGGGGCCTTGCCGTTTTTAAGGTGCTGGAGAGCCATTCTAATCTCGCTCAGACTGACGTCTGGGATATCATCAGAATAATGTCGGATAAGACTCGCTCTTGAATCGTTACTCACACTTGCGTGTGGCTCCAAAGATGATGTGTGCAGCAGCCCATAGAACCTCTCAATCTCACTCAAAATCTCAGGTGTCACGGAAATGACGCTGCCACACTCGGTCTTCAGCTTCGACAGTTGGCTCTTTCTGGCAGACAGATCTCTAGCAAAGACTTTGGAGCCCTGGTTTCGCTCGATCGCTTCTTTAATTCGAGCAATATTAAAGTTGCGTAAGTCCCGCCGAATGCATTTGGAGATCTGTCTGTTCAGTTGCCTGTATGCTGTTAAAACTACTGAAGACTGCAGCTTCATATCCCGTCTAACAGCCATGAGATTAAGAATGTGATCGGAGTGTTTTTGTGTTCTTCTACGGCGGATCTTGCAAAACTTAGCTCCGACCGCGTGGATAGTTTCCACGAGCTTGTCATTCATATCGTCCACTGCATTGCAATCTTCTAGGCATTGAAAACGGTTTCGTAGCTCTAGCTGAAAGGTTTCGGGACTTTGGATTAGAGTACGAGGGGGACGGAGCGTTGACTTCATTAGACGTGACCTCTCCAACTTAACGTTTAGGTTCAATGTGCCTCTCACCATTCGGTGATCGCTGCCGGTTTTCACACTGAACAGTTGTCGTCTGGTCGTCATAATGAAGTCAATCTCATTTTTTGTCGAACCGTCGGAGCTCGACCAGGTCCACTTCCTGTGGGGCCGCTTCTGGAAGAAACAGTTCATCATAAATAGTCCCTCTTTCTCCATGAAGTCATCCAGCTGCTTGCCCCTTGGGTTCCGTTGCCCTATTCCGAATTTCTCTACTTTCAGCTCACCGTTCTCTTTTGTGCCTAGTTTTGCGTTGAAGTTTCCCATTAACACCGTATAGTGGGTTTTGTAGGAATGCATGGCTCTAGAGATATCCTCATACATTTCCTCCACCTTCTCATCGGGGTGTGCCGAGGTTGGTGCGTAAACCTGTATGAACTTCAGTGAATACCGTTTGGTGATTCTGAGTATAAGGTACGCAACCCTCGTCGACACACTCCCAATCTTTACAACGTTGTTAACGAGAGAGTTGTGGACGATAAATCCGACACCTCCTTGGGACAGATGGTCGCCCTCCCGGTGATAGAACAAGTTGCCGTATTCAAGGATTACCGTGTCCTCCCCCTCTCTTCAGACCTCGGATAATCATATGATATTCCAGCGCAACTTGTCTATCTCTTCTTCCAGCTCCACGATCTTCTCGTTAGTCCTCAGGGTGCGTGCGTTATAAGTTGCCAGGTCGAGTCGTCGTAGGTGGCAACCGAACCTCCACCGGATATTCAGCACACCCTGCCCCTCCGTTACCATGGTCGCCACCGTAGCCAGGAATAGCGGGACCGCGAGGGACTGGGGGCCGTCCCTTCGTTACTCTCATGGGGGGGTATATTGCCATAGTTGCCACGCTTGGCGAGCGGGTTGGCAACCGCAGTTTTTTTTATTGCTGTTTTGCTATTATCAGAAAGATGCTGCTGCCCATCCTCTGCCTCAGTTTCCCTCTGTCGCCTTTTACGACACCCACGGGAAGACATGGAGTAGTGAGTATTCTTTCCCGCCACTACACGGGGAGTTGAAACCGATAGGGTTGTCGAAATGTAAATCCAAGATGGCGGCCGCAATAGGTATCAATTTTTTCATCATGGGTGTCATTTTCATGGTTTTCGAGGGTGCTGAAGCCGATAGTGCTGTCGAAATGTAAATCCGAGGTGGCGGCTACAATAGGTATCAATTTTTTCATCATGGGTGTCATTTTCATGGTTTTCACGGGTGTTGAAGCCGATAGTGCTGTCGAAATGTAAATCCAAGATGGCGGCTGCAATAGGTATCAATTTTTTCATCATGGGTGTTATTTTCATGGTTTTCACGGGTGTTGAAGCCGATAGTGCTATCGAAATGTAAATCCAAGATGGCGGCTGCAATAGGTATCAATTTTTTCATCATGGGTGTCATTTTCATGGTTTTCACGGGTGTTGAAGCCGATAGTGCTATCGAAATGTAAATCCAAGATGGCGGCTGCAATAGGTATCAATTTTTTCATCATGGGTGTCATTTTCATGGTTTTCGCGGGTGTTGAAGCCGGTAGTGCTGTCGAAATGTAAATCCAAGGTGGCGGCTGCAATAGGTATCAATTTTTTCATCATGGGTGTCATTTTCATGAGTTTCGAGGGTGTTGAAGCCGATAGTGCTATCGAAATGTAAATCCAAGATGGCGGCTGCAACAGGTATCAATTTTTTCATCATGGGTGTCATTTTCATGGTTTTCGCGGGCGTTGAAGCCGATAGTGCTGTCGATATGTAAATCCAAGGTGGCAGCTGCAATAGGTATCAATTTTTTCATCATGGGTATCATTTTCATGGTTTTCGCGGGCGTTAAAGCCGATAGTGCTGTCGAAATGTAAATCCAAGATGGCGGCTGCATTAGGTATCAATTTTTTCATCATGGGTGTCATTTTCATGGTTTTCACGGGTGTTGAAGCCGATAGTGCTATCGAAATGTAAATCCAAGATGGCGGCTGCAATAGGTATCAATTTTTTCATCATGGGTTTCATTTTCATGGTTTTCGCGGGTGTTGAAGCCGATAGTGCTGTCGAAATGTAAATCCAAGGTGGCAGCTGCAATAGGTATCAATTTTTTCATCATGGGTGTCATTTTCATGGGTTTCGCGGGCGTTAAAGCCGATAGTGCTGTCGAAATGTAAATCCCAGATGGCGGCTGCAATAGGTATCAATTTTTTATCATGGGTGTCATTTTCATGGTTTTCGCGGGTGTTGAAGCCGATAGTGCTGTCGAAATGTAAATCCATGGTGGCAGCTGCAATCGGTATCAATTTTTTCATCATGGGTGCCATTTTCATGGTTTTCGCGGGCGTTGAAGCCGATAGTGCTGTCGAAATGTAAATCCCAGATGGCGGCTGCAATAGGTATCAATTTTTTCATCATGGGTGTCATTTTCATGGTTTTCGAGGGTGCTGAAGCCGATAGTGCTGTCGAAATGTAAATCCGAGGTGGCGGCTACAATAGGTATCAATTTTTTCATCATGGGTGTCATTTTCATGGTTTTCGCGGGCGTTAAAGCCGATAGTGCTGTCGAAATGTAAATCCATGGTGGCAGCTGCAATAGGTATCATTTTTTTCATCATGGGTGCCATTTTCATGGTTTTCGTGGGTGTTGAAGCCGATAGTGCTGTCGAAATGTAAATCCAAGGTGGCGGCTGCAACAGGTATCAATTTTGTCATCATGGGTGTTATTTTCATGGTTTTCGAGGTTGTTGAAGCCGATAGTGCTGTCGAAATGTAGATCCAAGATGGCGGCTGCAACAGGTATCAATTTTGTCATCATGGGTGTTATTTTCATGAGTTTCGAGGGTGTTGAAGCCGATAGTGCTGTCGAAATGTAAATCCAAGGTGGCGGCTGCAATAGGTATCAATTTTTTTATCATGGGTGTCATTTTCATGGTTTTCGCGGGTGTTGAAGCCGATAGTGCTGTCGAAATGTAAATCCATGGTGGCAGCTGCAATAGGTATCATTTTTTTCATCATGGGTGCCATTTTCATGGTTTTCGCGGGCGTTGAAGCCGATAGTGCTGTCGAAATGTAAATCCAAGGTGGCGGCTGCAATAGGTATCAATTTTTTCATCATAGATGTCATTTTCATGAGTTTCAAGGGTGTTGAAGCCGATAGGGTTGTCGAAATGTAAATCCCAGATGGCGGCTGCAATAGATATCAATTTTTTTATCATGGGTGTCATTCTCATGGTTCTCGCGGGTGTTGAAGCCGATAGTGCTGTCGAAATTTAAATCCAAGATGGCGGATGAAGTAGGTACCAAGTTTTTCATCATTGGTGTAATTTTCATGGTTTTCGAGGGTGTTGAAGCCGATAGTGCCGTCGAAATGTAAATCCATGGTGGCGGCTGCAATAGGTATCAATTTTTTCATCATGGGTGTCATTTTCATGGTTTTCGCGGGCGTTGAAGCCGATAGTGCTGTCGATATGTAAATCCAAGGTGGCGGCTGCAATAGGTATCAATTTTTTCATCATAGATGTCATTTTCATGAGTTTCGAGGGTGTTGAAGCCGATAGGGTTGTCGAAATGTAAATCCCAGATGGCGGCTGCAATAGATATCAATTTTTTCATCATGGGTGTCATTCTTATGGTTTTCGCGGGTGTTGAAGCCGATAGTGCTGTCGAAATGTAAATCCAAGGTGGCGGCTGCAATAGGTATCAATTTTTTCATCATGGGTGTCATTTTCATGACTTTCGAGGGTGTTGAAGCCGATAGTGCTGTCGAAATGTAAATCCAAGATGGCGGCTGAAGTAGGTACCAAGTTTTTCATCATTGGTGTAATTTTCATGGTTTTCGAGGGTGTTGAAGCCGATAGTGCTGTCGAAATGTATTTAAACTACTTTAAAAAATTCCGTATAATCATGTTATACGTAATTTTTTTAATGCGCTTAAGGGATGCCCAATTGGATTTACCAATTTTTTTTTTACTATTATTTTGTTGACAGTTGCCGTTTTTTTTAATTCCCTCTTACAATACTATAAAGACAGTCTGCTCATTATTGAGAAAACACGGTTGTTGAAATGAAACTACATTACTATTTTAGTATAGATAAACCTTAAGAGATAAACATAAAGTTTGTATAACATGAAGTGATTATGAGGAAGTCGATGGATGCAGGAGGACTCAGTGTCATTATTTGTGACCTACCTTGGTGGAGTCTAATGTTCAGCAGGGGACTTGTGATGATGCTGATGATGATTGAAATAAGAATAGAAAAACTTGGTAGAACGAAATTATTTGCATTGGAAATATAAAAAATTGCTTTTAATCATATAAGTTAATATTATGAGAACTTTTCACACAAAGAGAGTCGCATCGCCCAAAGGTCACGCAAACAAGCATCCAGGTAGGTCTATTAATGAATGCGAACATTAAAACGCCAAGTGCACCGCTTACCTGCCACCGCTGGTTGTAATGATTTGTTAAAGGCTATTTTTATAAATACATAATATTTTTGCTTTTAATGTTATATGCTAGTATTCTAATATACTCAAAAGCAAAAATTATATCACAAGCTAATTATTTGACAATTATAAAAATTATATAAACAATACAAAAACAGAATGATTTTTTAAAAATATTATTTTACCTTGCTTGAAAACAATTAACAAATATTTCATCTGCCCCACACTGCTCAGCGATGCTACTGGAAAGCCTTCTGTATTGATTTTTCCTTTGTTTTTCTTCAGCCAAATCAAATTTCGTCCCAATAACCAATATAGGTATCTTAAAATAATAAAATAAATGGTATATTAAAAATATTAAATAAGATACAAAATTTTAGCAAGTACTTATAGAAAACTTTCAAGTCCTATTTCCGATTATTCCTGTTAATTGCAATTCCTGTCTCATGTTACACATTATCGTCACTGATTACTAAGATGGAATGCCTCGTTTCCAGTAAAAAGGTTCTCCCCTTCTCTACGCTAACTATACAATGTAGAACCGCATTATGCTGCTGTTTGTTTAATAGTAGATGGACCCTCTCCTGCAATATCGTAGATTTTTTTCATAAAACAAATTAATTATTTAATTAAATGTATATAGTCTTATGAGCCATCGTAGCAATTTCATAATTTCGGCTTAGTAAACCAATTCGGAAGTGAGATGTTAATTTACAACGTGCACGGGACGGTGAAGGATAACAGCGATTAAATCTGCAAGTCTGTAAAGTTGTAAATCTTTCGACGACAGGTGAAGGCTGCTAACATTCACTGGTGCGAGTGGCAGACTTATTTTTAATATAGGAGAGGGGGCAAACGAGCATGCGGCTCACCTGATGGTAAGTGACTACCGCCACCCATGAACAACCGCAACACCAAGGGAACCAGGGGTATTGCAGATGCGTTGCCGGCCTTTTAAAAAGGAGTAGGCTCTTTTCTTGAAGGTCCCTAAGCCATACCGGTTCGGAAAAATCGCTGGTGGTAAACTATTCCACAAGTAAGTTGTGCGAGGAAGAAACATCTTTAAATCGCACAGTAGTGGACCGCCAATCATCCAAATGGTGTTGATGGTATCGGGAGTTCTGCCGCGATTTTTGTTTCTCTCAAACCCTCTCAGAAATGAGGTGAAATCTGTGCCCAGCACTGGGATGTATAAAGGTTTACTTCTTAATCTCATGTCTTATTGTAAATATATATGGGGCAAATCCTACCTAAAACGAAAGAAACCCGTGTCCAACAGTGGACTTTTACAAACTCACAAACATAGGGTATTGAAACAAATGAGCAGGCAAGTTTAACTTGAAAGATTCTCCGTTCTCCTACCGCTAATCAGGTGGATTGATGGGAACAATGCCAATACTCTCGCACCGATAGTGCCAATTAGTTCAGGTATAGGGAATATAAGCTTTGCTAACTTTTATTTCATGTATTAAAATGTTAATGTCAGACAGAGTTGTTGGATACTAGAATATAACTTAAGTACACAGTTACAGTCACCGTTATAGCCTATCAACGTCCACTGCAGCTATGATGTATGCTGTGCTTGCAACAACTATGGATCTATAAGCTGTACAACAAAGGCACGATATGGTCGATAGGCTAAAAAAATAATTGTTTAAAGGTTTCCATAAAATTGGCTGTGCCGTATATTTAAAAAAAAAAAACATGTTTTGACGTCTATTCCAATCATAACTTCCCTTCAAAACATATTTATCCACAAAAGAGGGCTATTATAATTTACACAATGGTTATTAAAATATTTCTTATTTTAGATTAAATAAATCTGATGACTAGGCATATTAGTCATGAGAATGCTACCTGTGTTGAGCCAAGAAACTGTTCCGGATCTACATCAACCTGTTGAAAAGTAGGATTAGAACTATCTTGATTTAAAATTTCAGAAAGCCATTTCTGCAAATTAACTTGACTTTTCCTATTAGTTAAATCATGCACCAATATTATACCTGAAACGTAACTATACACATTACTAAATATATTATAAACATTATTTTACTCAATTAAACTTCTGAAATATACCATGTGTTGGCTGATAAAACACATTTCTAGTATTTCTATGACCATTTGATCCTCCAACATCCCAAAGTTCTACAAAGAAAGTATTTTGTGATTGAGTTCCTTCTTTGTATCTGTGCAACTTCACTTCCACAGAACAACCTACTGTCCATCCTGGTGATATCAATGGTTTATTATGTGCAATTAAGTATGTCAATGATGTTTTGCCAACTCCTGAAAAAAAAATTGTTTCAAATTACTACAAGTAAAGTATGTGTCAGTTGGATATGCAAATTCAGATTTAAGCTCAATTTCTTGACATTAGGCTCTATTCTTCACCTACTACCACTACCATAATGGATTATTCTTATTATTATTTTGTTAATTTTGTAAAAATATAAAATAATTATTCCTTTCGCCAGCGAACACTGCTTATTAGTTTACAACTATACACTAGCAGGCCCAGCAGACGTGGTTATGCCCTTTCCGGTAGGCGGAACTCTGATTGAATTCAAATTGAAATAATATCTATATTTTACTCCATTTACTCCAAAATCACTTTGGAATTTTTTAATGTAAATTTGAAATTTATTAATTACTAAATCACACCTACTGGGTTCAGATTTTATTTCTATTTGGTACTAAATTTTTTTTTATAGGATAGGGTGACAACGAGCACAGTCCACCTGATGGTAAGTGGTTACTGTGACCCATAGACATCTACATCTATCCTCAATAAAGACTGATGCAGATGCATTGTCACCCGTGAGGACTAAGATGGAATGCCTCGTTTTCAAGAAAAAGGGTCTCCAGTTGTCTACACTCACCATACGAAACACAGCAGCGTTAAGCTGCTATTTTACGCTGGTTTTCTGTGAGAGTGTGGTCCTTCCCCGGTCGAGCTGACCCATTCGTGCTACAACTATACTACTAATATAGCTGCAGCATGGCTCTACCACGTACAAAAATATATCATAAATCAACATATATTGTGAAAATGAATCATTTTCGTTCATTTGGTTGTCAGACCTGGTATTGCAATATACCTACATCCCGACAAAAGAAATTGGGTTTACGCATTCAATATTATTTTCATTAATTACTGAATGGTAATAGTATTGATACAATATTGATGAAAATTACAATACTGCTGCAATATTAATGAGGATTTAGAAGTTTTTGAAATCACCATCAATATGTGGTCGAGGTATTTGTATTATCAATAATATTGATAAAAGCACAGTGAGGATTAATCTCATCAATATTTCAAGCTGTTTGATCGGCTGAAGGACAATGTTCATTATGTCCAACTCCAAAGCATCTGCAAGGAAGTTAGGTGTCCTTGCCAAAGTGCGGCAATACTTCATGCTAGGACATTTCTTACACTATATAAAGTGCAAGCTTGTTTGTGCATAGAGTATTGCTACCATATGTTAGCTGGTGCAGAAAAATGCTACCTAGCGGTTATTTACTCAAAGGAAAGGTGTGCTGAGAGGGGTATTGGTGACACTAATATGGTTAGAACCAATCTTACTAGCCTTGAGCTGAGGCACATAGTAGCTAGATTTTCGATTTTTAACAGAGAGTGTGCGCAGGAATTGCATGACATAATGTCTTTCTCTCCAGTCCATCACTGGACCACCATACGCTACTCCATACATACATATACTCTGCTGGTCTTTGTTGCCAACATACCATGCATTCGAATCAAATAGTTTGCTTCCTCATTCATAATGCATACAAGAAAGGAGTTTGAATAATTTGCCACAACAGTGCTTTCTTTTACATTTTAGTCCAATGGCTAAATTTATTTAGCTAAATTATAGCTAGTCATGCTTTTTTGTATTATTTATGTTTCCACATATCCATTTAAGTTGACAATCAGATGAATTGGCATTGAATTTACATGTGCAATATTATTGACAATACCCACCAATTATGTGAATAGGAACTCGTCAGTTAACTAGTTAACTCTAACTAAAATTACACAATCACTAGCAGAAACCAACAATCATGTAAGAGGCAAAATCTATTTAAAATTAATACAATTTTTGTAATTCATATAAAATTGAACATTAATGGAATCACCTTAGTGTCTGTCTGTCTGTCACAGAATATTTTTCTGAGTTTTCAAATCAATTGAAAATTGACATGGTTAAAAAACTATCAACTCATGCAAATAATCAATAATCACAATGCTGTATCAAATCACTTGGAATATTAATTTAAAGCTCTATGAAATACCATTTGAAAAACTAAATTCTAAATAATTAAAAATTTTGTACAACCGACTTCACTATAAATTATTAAGAATAACTCAAAAACTATTGGTCAGACCTTGATCAAATTTATATGGGACCACATGAGAATCATCACCAGCTTTCAAATAAAAAAAAGAATCATCGAAATCGTTTCACCCAGAAAAAAGTTAAGATAACATACATCCTCCCTTTTTGAAGTCGGTAGAAAATACCTATGCATCTCAAGTGATTACACCACAGAACACTAATACCCTTAGGCGGGCTTGGATTACACACAGAATTAACTCAAATATGATAAACAGAAATTTTAAAAATTTAAAAAAAAATACCACCATCATTTTGTTTGCTTATTTGTATTGTAATGATAATAGGATGCCTTATTTGAAATCGTATTTTTTTATCACAACAACATTATTTTAAATTAGACCGCCAAAATACTAAATACCTTTTAAAGTTGCCTAACTTGATATGTCATGGCCACAGTCAGGTTGGCAAATGAGAACTTCCTAAAGTGTTTTCAATGTTAAATTGTTCAAAAAAAAAGTGTAGTGTATTAAGTGCTAAAAGCTAATGTAAAGAATTAGCCTTACCGGAGTCTCCAAGAACGACTACTTTCACTTTCTCTATCGCCGCCATTCACAGGTAATACTTTTGGCTAAATATTTTGACAACCACTTCGATATCGGTCGTTTTCATTCCTCCCTCGTCTCGTCCCTCATTTTTCTTCAAAATGCTACATATATGACCAACATAACGAACAAAGAAATGTTGCCAACATATAAGTTATGAATGGAATTACTCTAAGTGTAAAAATATCACTACAGTTTGTAATTTATGTTCTGATTTGTGAGTTAGAGGTGGGAGGTATTTATCGGTTTCAGTAACTGCTTACAAGCCTGGTAGATAGTCTTATACGTTTTTTTTTCATTTTTAGAATATGTTTTTATTTCGTGGACCGAAGTACAACGTAATCATAAAGATTATAGATAATATTATAGAATTTTATGTATCCTGTTTTACAAAAATGATAAGATGACTTGCGCGGTGTATAAGCGTTTCATTCAACAGGTTATTACTAAATGTGGCACATCACGTCTCATTCGTCGCTCAGCCATGTAGATGTAGATGTGTTAAAATTCATGTAAAAAGTAATTTATATTAAACTAAATTTTTGCAGCTAGTCTTAGACCTAATATGATATATACTAATATGACACTACACTGAATCAGGGCCCTGAATTAAGGATGGGCGTGACCCCTAATTAGAAACGTCAGTTGCACTGATTTTACGCCCTTACTCAGTCATAGGGATGAACAAGGGAAAAAAATATCGATATTTATCGTATCAATTTTGACAACTTGGTGCCCAGTAAACGGTTTCTCTCCTGGGTGAAATAGCTCCAACCTCTGAGAATAACCACTTACGGGGTACCGAAGTTGCTATGATAGGCAAATAGATCTTAGTTAGGCTATGAAGCCCGGGAAATAACCCCTTCATGTCATCGCACATCTCCAACCCATCTCCCTTTATAGGAGTGACAGGTAATTACATGAAAATATGAAAATCTGTTAGTAAAAAATAATTAAAAAATAATTATTAATAAAAAATAATTAAAACAATTTCAATCCATTTTCAATATTTGTAAACTCTTCGACTTTTTTTTCAATATTTATTTTACGGCGACATAAAATTCGTAATAATCATTCTTCGCAATTTTAATACACGGAATTTAATTTTAATACACGGACCTTTTGACGGCAAGCCAAAACCTAGTCGCGCATCGAATAAGTGTCGAATAAGTTAGTATTATTAAACTGTACGGTGGTAAGCGCACTACGAACCGGGTCCACTCTGACGCCCTAATCACGGGACCCTTACTGCCTTACTCTTATTACACCTCTCTTATTGATGACTTAGGGACTGATTCAGTGTAGTGTAATAGGAGTATTAGCCTGATTAAGGAGAAGTCAATTCCGTAATATTATACAAATAACATTAATATGAAAACTAAGTAACTGTTTCATTTATGCCCGATTCATTTATTCAAAAAACGTTTCGTTTCATTTCGATCTGTTTTATTACATCGAACGTAATAAAACAGATCATTACGGAGAACGAAACCTTGCATGTAAAAACAGTTTATATAACAAACTACTATTCATTCAGCAACTTAGGATGACTTAAAATGAAAACGCTTAAAACGGTTCGTTTACTGTTGAACTGGTATTTTGTTTTAAAAAAGGGGTTTCGTGCACTTCATTTACTGCAAAACGGCTGGTATAAGAAAACGAAGCGTTTTAAATATAGAAACTGCATTAATCCTAATATTTGTTATCATTACACAAAAGTAATGGAATGAAGTAACCAACGCTCTATACAGAGAAGACTAGATATAAAAATAAGCTGTTACGAAACTAGATACGCGAACGCCGGAAACTACGTATATAACCGACTTTGAACAAAAGACGTTACGCTACATGACTACTGTGTTTGCATTAGAGTAGGTGACTGCTTCTAATGAACAAAAGACGTTACGCTACATGACTACTGTGTTTGCATTAGAGTAGGTGACTGCTTCTAACATCTTTCTGTAAGGATTTGTTGCTTACTTAATGTAGTCTAATACCCACTTTCTGTTTAACTTTTGACTCCTTAATTATATGTTAAGTAGTAAACTAACAAGTGGTAAAATTAAAAATTTTGTACAACCGATTTCAATATAAATATAATGAGAACATCATCAATGTAGTCGAAGGCGATAAAATACGCAGTATTAAGGATAACTAAAAAACTACTGGTCAGATCTTGATCAAATTTTTATAGGACCACATAAAAACCACCCGTTTTCAAATTAATAATTTAAAATTAAAAATTTTGTACAACCGACTGCAATATATATTATTAAGGGTAACTCAAATACTATTGTTCAGACCTTGATCAAATTTATATGGGACCACATGAGAAGCACCAGCTTTAACACAACAACAGTAGAACAAAGTTATTAGGTAACACACATAAAAAAACTTACAGTGGAATAGAGTACCTCCTGCTTTTTGAAGTCAGTAGAAAAAGAATCATCAAAATCGGTTCGCCTAGAAAAAAGTTCTGAGGTAAGACATCTATATAAATAAATAAAATTGAAGTATCTGTTTGTAATGTCAAAATAACAGCTTTTACTAAATGCATATGAAAGTATATATACTTTTACTTTACAAAAACACAATTTTTAAAATGTTTGTCTGTCTGTCTGTTTGTTCCGGCTATTCTCCGAAACGGCTGGACCGATTTTGACGGGACTTTCACTGCCATATAGCTGATGTTATAAGGAATAACTTAGGCTACTTATATTTTAGAAAAAGAATTAGGGTTCCGCGCAACGTAATTAAAAGTGTAGGGCGTCCCCCTACTAGATGGAGTGACGCCCTGGTAAGATATGCAGGAAGTCGGATGCAGGTGGCTCAGGACCGTGCTTTGTGGCATTCTTTGGGGGAGGCCTATATTGAGCAGTGGACTTGTGAAGGGCTGTAATGATGATGATGATGATGACAGAAGTTATTTGTTTGGTTAAATATTAATTTATGGAGAATAGTATTTTTTTTAATAAAAAATGTATGTATATTTATTCTCAACTGTCTTGTCTTAGTTGTTTTACTTTTGCTTCGCTACACGTCACAATCTGACATGGTACAATCAAAAGAACTATGTTCCATATAAACTTGGCATTTACGCTCACGTTTAACGAAATTAACAGCAAGTGTATGACTTGCAATAAATATATTAAATTTGAATTTGAATACGGTATTTGATAGTTTGACTCGGGTTACTCTGAATCTGTGTCGAGAACGAGATCTCTAGAATCGAAAAATCGATTTAGTCGAGATCGAGAACCGGTTAACGAAAATACGATTACGAATGCAAGAAGCAAGAAGTGAAATGTGAAGTTGTCTCTTCTTCTTCTCTTTGTCTTTGAATCTGAGTAGGTAGCGTAGATAGAGGATAAGATACTATGTCTATGGTAGGTAGTGGGTACCATAGATTAGTAATTAGTATATTGTAGTTAGGGATGGTCGATGTTGTAGAAACATCGATGGTGACATCGATGTTGACATCGACAGCTCGACATCGATGTTCGATGTTTATCCTACTCAAAACATCGATGTTGGCCATTATCGATGTTTTTTTCCATATATATTTAATAGAATTAGTTGAAAAAAAAAATTGTCATGTTGCTTATGGTTTATAATTAATGAAATAAAAGAAATTAATAAACAATGTAATATAAAACAGCAATTAACAAACATTGGAAGAAGTTCACAAATATGTAATTCACTTGTTATATTGTCTAATATTTTTGCAGATTGATTGAAGAAATAGTTATTTGGACAAAGAAGTACCTTTCAATCTATTTCTTTGTTGATAAAGAGTTTTGTAAAACTGACTTAAGGATAACTCAAAAACTATTGGGCAGACTTATATGGGTCTAATTTATATGGAACTACAAGAGAAAGCACCAGCGTTCAAATAAAAAAAATCATCGAAATCAGTTGACCCAGAAAATAGTTATGAGGTAAAACACATTAAAAAAAGAACATACAGTGGAATTGAGTACCTCCTCCTTTTTGAAGTAGGTAGATAATCGCTCAGATGGTGCTGATGTAGCGATTGTGGTCAAATATCTCACCGCAAGTTTTCTTTGTGTTTATGATCAACCATCGGTTTTTTTTAAAACAACCGATATAGAAACAGATAACCAACAACGACACTAATAACAAACGAAATCAGTGACAACTGCGACATTACAGTTGACACTTGACAGTTAAATTTGATACCCCATAATGATATATTTTTGGTTTATCGATGCGTTCAAGCATTCTGAATTATTCAAAATTTTAAATATTTTAAATGAGATACAAGATTTAGTTGATATTGACTTCGCGGATTCGCAAGTACCCAATAATCGATTATGGGTTCATTGACATCGATGTTTCGATGTTTGACATGTTAAAACATCGATGTTTTCATTCTTGACATCGATGATCATCGAACATCGATGATCATCGACCATCCCTAATTGTAGTACGACTGCGACTAGAACTAAAATCAATAAAGTAAATAATGCGTCGGCCATTGTGTAGTCAATGGGGTATTTTTAACGTCTTGTAAATAGTTTCAAGCTAAAATGCAACGATCTAACAATAAGTACGTCGAAGTACTCTTAATTTTATAACAATGAACGTGTTTAATATACCAATTATTGTGCTTCTTTTTGTGAAATCAGTCCATCTGTATTGCGGTCCATATAATGGACAGATTTGTAAGAATTATACCACTGGATACGTTTGGTATAACAGTACAGGTGGCCTTGAAAATGAAAAAATCACCACTAGTCTTTGGAACGAAATGATTTCCACGTTAAAAGAACCGTGTCGAAGCAGGGCTGAAAAGTTATTATGTGCGTACGCTTTTCCTAAGTGCATTGACAAAGATGGGATAGGATTCTATGGATTACCTCTTTGTTATGAAGACTGCATGGCTGTAAAAATGCAATTTTGTTATAACGATTGGATAGTTATAGAAGAAAATAAACGTAGAGGATTATTTTTTGAATCGAGAGGTCATTTTCGATTGCCTGAATGTGAAAGACTTCCAAGACTGGCTGGGAAAGGATCACAAGTAACTTGCAATAATGCCGGCTTAACAGATATGGATTACAGTGAAGTTACAACAACCTGCATTAAAGGCAATGGACGCTACTACCAAGGTACTATAAATGTTACTGAGACTGGGCTACCTTGTCAAGCTTGGGAATCGCAATATCCCTATCAACACACAAGACCACCTCTAGTCTTTCCAGAAGTTCAGAATTCATCAAATTATTGCAGAAATGCTGGAGGTGAAGAACGCAAACCATGGTGCTATACTATGGACCCCGACATAAGATGGCAACATTGTGATATACCACTCTGTGCCAATTATAGTGAAGAAGTTGACAATATAAATGGACCAAATATTGTTATGGAGAACTATTTTACACCTACATTTGTTTTATTTTTATCGATTGGTGGTTTGGGATGTATTTTAGGTGTAGCTTCAGTAACTCTTTTGTGCCACTATTTTTTAAAGAGCCATTATTCCAAATTTAGTATGTCGAGTAGGAGAAATATGCAGAATATGGATATTGATTTAGACAAACTTCCCAGTAATCTAGCATATCACACAACTGGTGCCCAGCTTAATCCGAAACTAGAGAAACTTGAATTTCCCAGAAATAATATTATATACATACGAGACTTAGGTCAGGGTGCATTTGGCAGAGTGTTCCAGGCAAAAGCCCCTGGTCTGGTACCTGAGGAAGAATTTACTCTTGTTGCTGTAAAAATGTTAAAAGATGAAGCATCTCATGACTTACAACTTGATTTTGAACGAGAAGCATGTTTACTTGCTGACTTTGACCATCCTAATATTGTAAAGTTACTTGGTGTTTGTGCAGTTGGACGACCGATGTGCTTGTTATTTGAGTATATGGGGAAAGGAGACTTGAATGAATATCTTAGAGCATGTAGCACTGCTACTAGTTTTCCACCTGCTGTAGAAAATAGAGAAGATTTAAGATTACTTGTAACTCCTCTTAGCCACTTGGATCTTCTACATATTGCAAGACAAATAGCATCAGGAATGGTGTATCTTTCTGATAGAAAATTTGTTCATCGTGATTTAGCTACAAGAAATTGTCTTATTAATGATGATATGGTAGTAAAGATTGCAGATTTTGGATTATCACATAAAATTTACTTACAAGATTATTACAAAGGAGATGAGCATGATGCTATTCCTGTACGATGGATGCCACTGGAGAGTATTTTATATAATAAGTATACTTTAGAGTCTGATGTTTGGGCATATGGAGTATGTCTTTGGGAAATTTTTTCATTTGCCTTACAACCCTATTTTGGAATGACACATGAAGAAGTAGTCAGATTTTTAAAAGATGGAAACGTTCTTGCCTGTCCTGATAATACTCCTCGTTGTGTATATGATTTAATGAAACAATGTTGGAATCATCATCCAAGTGATCGACCTAACTTTAGAGTAATATATCAGACAATTGATAACATTCAGTTAATACTAGAGAGAACTCGTTCTGAATAATTTGGTGTTAATTAATTTATTTATTAGGAGATTAGCTTTTATATGAATTTAAATATTTTAATCTTTAAATTGTAGCATTTACAACTTTCTTGCCATCGAGAGAAACATGCTCATTTTGTATTCATTTTTTATGAATTAAATTCAGCATTATCTGAAAATATGATACTATGGAAATAAGTACAGTGGACATCCATAGCCAGATTTAGAAATTAAATTGCTTTACAAATAACTCAAAAATATTATTTTTACATCATAAAGACAGATGTTTGTTTGTTAATGAATGTACAATATTTTAGAATATCTTTTATAAAAACAATGTGTCCAATATTTATAATGTGACAAAAATTCAAAGACTTGCTCTTTTGTTTTGTATCCTCAATTACTGGACTAGTTTGTAAAATACTGATTATGGGGTAATTTATTACATCTTTTGTTATTTCTATAAGACTGAATTTGGTTAGCAAATATTGTTACTTTACATGTCAACCTATTATTACTGCCCTTATTTTTTACTGAAATAAGAGTATTTTGCTATTTTTACGTATAGTTTTATTTTACCACTCATAAATAATTATTCGTTTTTGCTACTACATACATAAATTACATACATAAGGTTATGGTCGATTTCAGTGAAGCTTGCAATGTGAAAATCACAGCACCCCCAGGCTAAAAACAAACATTTTGTGTTTCACAATTTTAATGTTTCCAGCTATTCATTTATTTTTATACAGAATATCAAAATTAAGAATATAGGATCAAAAATATACTTTCTACTAATGTTATAAACGTGAAAACTTGTGAGGATATATGGATGTTTGTTACTCTTCTTCGCAAACACTAATATTATCTATAGTTCATACATCAGAACAACACATAGGCTATAATTAATAAAGATTTGTGTAAATTGGTCAAAATATAACGAGAAATGTTAAATAAGTCGGAAAATATCTGTCATCTGTGAGCTATTTGGGTGTGCGGTGCAAAAACTGTTACATAAATAATGTATGGTATGGTGGAATTGTTTCTCCTAAATAGTTTTACAAAAAAGTCCGCGACAAGATAGATATATACCTATCTTTTATGTGTAAGCCATTATTACCAAAATTGTGAACCATAAATAAAATAAAATTTTATACTTTATTTCCAATGTACATTTTGCAGTAACAAATAGATTTTATCAAAATAAATACTTTAATCGCTTCTGATATTCAAAGTAGATAACTTTTGTCTTTTAAACTACGTAATTTGGTCAAATATTTTAAAATTAACGACGATATAAAAGTGTGCGGTCCAGCATGCGCAGGGCGCTCGGGCGTACTGCGGGTAAGGTGCCGCGTGAGCAAATGTACCTCTTCACGCTTAAACCGCTGAACCGATTTAGATGAAATTTGGTATCGAGATAGTTTAAGAGTGATGGAATTTACTATGAAAGTTCGATTATTTTTGGATCACCTATAATTTAAAGTATACGCGGACGAAGTTGCAGGCAAAAGCTAGTATTTAATAAAAATGATAATGGTTCTACATTATTTAGTAAAGTTATACTAAATAATGTAAGTATAACCATTTGTTTAAAATTGCTGTGTTCTTGAAAAACCCATGTTCAACAATATACTGAAAAAAAAAGTTTAAAGACCTGGTGTCCTTTCAATCCTGTCCAGTTCTATATATAATTCAGCTTTTATAACCTTTGATATATAAATCTATAGTCGATACATTTAGCTGGACTAGTTTTGGAAAAGGATTTATTGTGGAGAACAAGGGTAATAACATTAGATTTAATTTTTTAACATATGGTACCAAAACAAAATATTTAAAGCGAACAAAATAGTAATGACTGAATAGTGGATGGCCAATGAAACCTGTCAATTTCAATTAGAAGTGTTGTACTTAAATAAAATTAAACAAAAATATTTTTCATTAATGGTTTGATTACAGCATTACTTATAAATTTAAACAACTTTTTAATAATTCTGATTTTGGATTACCAACCCAATATCCTGGGATAGGCACTGGGCACGGCCCACTCGGCTACCCCAACTACATACGCCAATGACTAATGTCTTCTAACTTCTTATGGGTTTAACTTTTACTTTTTCTCATTGAACAAACTGATACTTAATATAACAATGTCTTCCAGACCGAATTTCGGTCAGGTGACCAGTCGCAACGGAGACTAGCCATCTGCGCAGGACAGGATTTGAGTGCCCCAGTATGCGCAAGCACACGTGCATTCTATTCCCTCACTCTCATAGTCCGATGGAACTGCAAGCCGACACGATCGGAGAGAGATTAAGACCAGGACCAACGGCTTTACGTGCACGGGCACGGGGGTGAAACACCGCCAACTTCCAGTCTCCGGGCTGTGAATTTCTTGACCGAAAAACCCAATACCTGATTTTGGCCCAACTCGGGATGCGACCAGTAGACCAATCATTACAGCCCTTCATAAGTCCACTGCTGAACATAGGCGTCCCCCAAGGAATGCCACAAAGCACGGTCCTGAGCCACGTGCATACATCGACTTCCTGCATGTCTTACTTACCAGGTCGTCACTCCGTCTAGTGGGGGGTCGCGCTACACTTTGGCTACCGGTACGAGGCTGCCACTCGAGAACCTTTCTTCCCTATCGGTTGTCGGTTCTTCGAGCTATATGGCCGGCCCACTGTCACTTCAGCTTACTAATCCGTTGGGCTATGTCGGTTACTCTGGTTCTACTGCGGATATCCTCATTTCTAAGTTTATCACGCAGAGAAACTCCGAGCATAGCCCTCTCCATAGCTCGCTGAGCGACCTTGAGCTTCCTTATACGGCCAGCAGTGAAGGACCACGTCTCAGATCCGTAAGTCATCACTGGCAACACGCACTGGTTGTACAATTTCGTTTTCAGGTTTTGAGGTATGTCTAACGAGATGTGTCGTAGTTTCTCGAACGCTGCCCAGCCGAGTTGAATTCGTCGATTGACCTCGGACTATTTGTCCCAGGTAAACATACTCGTCAACAACTTCGAGCTTAGTTCTCCCATCAACTACCGGCATAGGTGTGACATGGACGTTAAACATGATTTTTGTTTTGTCCATGTTCATCTTAAGTAATATCCGTTAGGAGTCATTGAGCATAGTGCTTAGATCCTCCAGCGTTTCTGTCATAAGGACTATATAGTCGGCAAATCGAAGGTGAGTGATATACTCGCCATTGATGTTAATTCCGCATCCTTTCCAGTTCCAGTTCCTAGCTTGAAAACGTCTTAAAATGCAGCGGTGAAGAGTTTCAGGGATATAACGTCACCCTGTCTTACACCTCTCTGCAGTTGGAAAGGTTTCGTACTCTGATAGCCATCGTAGCCCTACTGTACAAACACTTCAGCACTTCGATATACCGACAGTCAACTTAGCACTGCTGAAGGGACTGCAGCACCGCCCAAATTTCGACGGGATCAAAGGCATTCTCATAGTCCACATACGTAAGGCAAAGTGGCAGGTTATACTCCTCTGTCTTCTGTACTTTTTTATTTTCCGAAGGGTGTGTATGTGGTCTATGGTACTAAAGCCTTTTCGGAAACCGGCTTGTTCGGGAGGCTGGAAGTCGTCAAGTCTGCGTGCGAGACGATTTGTAATGACTCTCGAAAACAGCACGTAGACGCGGCTCAGAAGGGAAATCGGTCTGAAGTTCTTCAAGAGAGCGTTGTCGCCTTTCTTGAAGAACAAGACCACCGCACTTCTGTTCTATGCCTCCGGAGTAGTGCCACCATGGAGGACGGAATTAAAGAGCTTCTGAAGGACTTCCAAGTACCGGTTTTCCACCCGCTTTCAAAAGCTCCGCTGTCATTCCATCCTCACCTGGGGCCCTGCCGTTTTTAAGATGCTGGAGAGCTGGATCTTCGGAATAGTGTCGGATATCTCGCTCTTGGATCATTACTCACATTTGCGTGTGGCTCCAAGGATGACGTGTACAGCTGCTCATAGAACCTCTCAATCTCACTCAAAATCTCAGGTGTACCGAAAACGATGCTGCCACACACGGTCTTCAGCTTTGACAGTTGGCTCTTTCTGGCAGTCAGATCTCTGGCAAAGACTTTGGAGCCTTGGTGCTGCTCGATCGCTTGTTCAATACTAGTTGTATTGAAGTTGCGTAAGTCCCGCCGCATGCATTTGGAGATATGTCTGTTCAGTTGCCTGTATGCTGTCAAATTTGGTGAAGACTGTAGCATCATCTCCCGTCTAACAGCCATGAGATTAAGAGTGTAATCGGAGAGTTTTTGTGTTCTTCTGCGGCGGGTTTGCAGAACTTAGCTCCGACCGCATGGACAGTTTCCACGAGCTTGTCATTCATATCGTCCACTTCATTGCAGTCTTCTAGGCACTGAAAACGGTTTTGTAACTCGAGCTGAAAGGTTTCTGGACTTTGGAATAGAGCACGAGGGGGACGGAGCATTGACTTCATTAGACGAGATTCCGTCCGTTTTCCGAGAACCATTCGGTGATCGCTACCAGTTTACACCCTCGCGATCATGGAGGCATCTCTGAACAGTTGTCGTCTGGTCGTCATAATGAAGTCAATCTCATTTTTTGTCGAACCGTCGTTGGTGCTCGACCAGGTCCTCTTTCTCCATGAAGTCGGCCAGCTGCTGGCCCCTTGGGTTCCGTTGCCCTATTCCAAATTTCCCTACTTTCAGCTCCCGTTCTCTCTTGTGTCTAGTTTTGCATTGAAGTCTCCCATCAACACCGTATAGTGGGTTTTGGAGGAATGCATGGCTCTAGAGATATCCTCATACATTTCCTCCACCTCCTCATCGGGATGTGCCAAGGTTGATACGTAAACCGGTATGACCTTCAGCGAATACCGTTTGGTGATTCTGAGTATAAGGTACGCAACCTTCGTCGACACACTCAATCTTACAACGTTGTTAACGAGAGACTTGTGGACGATATATCCGACACCTCTTTGGGACAGATGGTCGCCCTCCCGGTGATAGAGCAAGTTGCCGAATTCGGGGATTACCGTGTCCTCCCCCTCTCTTCGGAATTCGGATAATCCTATAATATGCCAACGTAACTTATCTATCTCTTCTTCCAGCTCCACGATCTTCTCGTCAGTCCTCAGGGTGCGTGCGTTGTATGTTGCCAGTTCGAGTCGTCTTAGGTGGCAACCAAACCTTTACCAGAGATTATTAGCACCCCCTGCCCCGCCGTTACCATGGTCGCCACCGTAGCCAGGAATAGCGGGGCCGCCGGGGATTGGGGGCCGTCTCTTTGTTACTCTCATCATGAGGGGGGGGGGTATTTGCCATAGTTGCCACACTTGGTGGGCGGGTTGGCAACCGCAGTTTTTTTATTGTAATTTTGATGTTATCAATAAGATGCTGCTGCCCATCTCCTGTCTGTTTCCCACTGTCGCCTCTTACGACACCCACGGGAAGATATGGGGTAGTGGATATTCTTAACCGCCACTACACGGCAGTAGACCAAGGAGGCATATTATTATTACGAGCTAATACCATATCTGTTACACGATATCCACGTAAGAGAATCCACCACTCACTAGACCGACGTGACAGTCTTAATATAGTAAACGGCACGATACCTATAATAATTGTTTTGTGATTATTTTTATTCCCGTGTTTGACACCGTCTACCATAATACCATACTATAATCACATGAACATGAGCTGTGATGATCCTAGAGTAATCACAGCTTATGATGATGTCATGCCATCGTTCTTTAACACTATCACTAACCTTCACAAGTCCACAGCTGAACACAGGCCTCCCCCTAGATTGACATCAAGTTCCTGTTCGGTTCCACCAAGGCGTGAAACCAGTTGAAAAACAATTATACTTATTCATACATACATACACGTAGTTTTGGCTAATGTAAAGCGTATAACAATAACGTTTCTTTGTATGTCCAATAATACGTTCCTACAATTTTAAGACTACGACAAAACTGGTGAGTTTTTGTAAAAAAATAAATATTACGTTGTCTCTTTGTTCGTTTTCTATGTTTTTAAACGATTACGATTAAATTTGGTAAGTTGTAGTGTGCGCGCCCGTGTATGTTTCTGACGAAAAAGCATTGCAATGCTTGTAGGCACAGTTCGCTAAAACTAAGTTAATATTAATCACGATAAAATTAGTTTTCATTTATGTGTGGTTTTCGCGTAAATATTAAAAATCATAATTTCAAAGTACGCGAGCAAACCGGGTTCGATCCTCGTGTTGTTTTGCTCGGCGATGAAGGTAAACTATCTTAGTACCTATTTATAAACACTAAGAAGAAACGTGCATGTCTGGTGAACAAAAATATTTCGAAGCAGCGGACGAATTGCTCCGTACGTAACAATGTCAGAAATGAGAGAAAGCCTGTGCCCTGCTGTGGAACGTATATATGCTGTAACTTTAACTTTTACTATGTAAGGTATATCTAGTGTTAACCTTACTCATCATAACTCTGGTTGGATTTTAAAGGGCGCAGTAATTTTTATATAATAGGTCGGGGGAAAAGTATCTTCGTATTTCGTTTGTTAATATTGAAGAGAATTGAAGAGTTAACACGCAATAAGGTGATGCTGTGTGTATGGTGGGATTGAAAGGGTATTGTTTATTAATAAGTTTTTACCGCTGGGAAAAACCATCGATTCGGCTCTCCACTGTCAACAACTAATGAGACTCAAGCAAGAAATTGAGAAAAATCGGCCGGAAATGATCAACAGAAAAGGAGTGGTCTTTCATCATGATAACACCAGACCACACACATCTTTGGCGACTTAGCATAATTGAGAGAGCTAGGTTGGGAAGTGTTAATGCATTCTCCATATAGTCCTAACCTTGCACCCTCAGAATTTCACCTGTAACGGTCTCTTCAGAGTTCTTTGGGTAGTGTTAGGTTAACATCAAGAGAGGACTGTCAAAACTACTTGTCGCATTTTTTGGTCAAAAATCCCAAGATTTCTACAGCAACGGGATTATGTCACTACCTACAAGATGGCATCAAGTTATCGAACAGAATGGCACATATATATTATTATAATTAAATGTAATTAACTTTGGAAAAGAATGTCTTGAATTTATATATAAAATACGAATAAACTTTTTCCTCGTACTTATATAAAAATCAATTGCTGTACGCTAGTCTAGCTAAAACTCGAAACTGGCTCAACCGATATTGATGAAAATTGTTGTGTGTTTGAGTTGGTCCTTGCATGGTTTAGATTCACAATTGGACCCGGTAAGTGGCGCTGTTGTCGAGACCCAAAAATCACCCGTGCGAAGCTGGGACGGATCGCTAGTGGTATTATAATAAAATACGCAGTAATGTAATATGTCAATGGGTGTACTCCATTTATCAATATACAATAGTATTATGCATATTAAACGTCGACTAAAACCAGAAACATCGAAAAAATTACCTTATGTGTGACAATTAATGATATTTAGGTACTTATTATATTAGGTAGTACACGGTATACACACTGTACATTAGCGACGCCTCCAGCATTTTTGACAACTCATCTTAGAATAGCGATTATTAATCACCTTCCACATCACGCTTAGTGGAAAGTAGGCCTGAACATGATTCAACATGTTCTCAGAAATTTTGTAAGCATATCTTGTCGTCAAAAGTCAAATCCGATCGATAATGATACCTTTTTTAAAAGATTTCATTCGTCTTACAGATGTTTCGAACTGAAACGATTCACAGATGAATGACGCTTTCTGTCTGTAATTCTCACATAGTAAATAAACATTTTGCTTCCGGCGTCGCTACGCTGTTGGGACACTCATAAAGTATATTTAGCTATTAAATAGTCGAAGAGTTTTGTCGTAGCCATAAAAAGTCGGTCAATACAGCTGAAAACCTGTGGCTTTAAGAGTACCTACTTAGTTTTTGTATTCGCATAAAGTTTCACATTTAATAAAATTAGATACTCATCAATCTGGGCTGTCTCTGAAAATGGTTTTGACATTTTACATTTTTTCAGGTAATAAACATTACATATATATAGTGCCACCAACTTATCTGTTCAGTTGACAGCGTCGCTAGTGGAGTGGTTACTATTGCCATTTAAGAAATTCACCGAGGAAATAGGTAACAACATATTCATTACACATAATATAAAATAAAACAAATTTCGTGTTAATATATTAAAATTGAGAATTAGTGTTATTATATATATTATTTTTATTTTATAAAAATAATTGTGGTCGTGATCTCGGAGTTCAAGCGGCCGAATACCAGGAATTTCTGTTTTGAAAAATGTACCCGCGTAGCTACTGGTTCCAATAATTCATCTTCTGGAATCGCTTTCACTATCGCTCTGACACTGTAATAAAGGGTTCATTTAAATACGCGTCTTTTAGTCTGTATTAATTTTCAATTTTTTTACATGATTATAAAAGTTATTTGTAAATTTATGAAATAAATCTTCAATTGATTGGGGCATTAGAACATTAGCAACACAAACTACAAAGCTAGGTACTTTAGATGAATTGCAGTAAATTGAGATAATTTTTTAACTATGTTTCATAAGTACATTATTTGGTGATTTTAACTTTCCATATCTGGCAATACTAACCTGTCGCGGCAGCTACGCGTTCTTACAGCTTTTCAAATGGTATAGTTGGGATTCGTACACGTTTCTCTTCTTCATAAATGATAAAAATTTTAGCATAATCTATCGCGCATCACTTTTAAGACCTTTAGGCATTTTATTGACACTTTTTAAAAACGCTCACCTGATAGCTTAGAATAAATAATAGCTGACAGCGAAATGTCATTTACAAAATGGCGGCTTTAGTTCCAATTTTGTCCACCTGAACAGATAAGTTGGTGGCACTATACATACCTAACTAGCTTACTCGGCAGAAGCTGTTCCACCTTTTTAGTAGTGGTAGGTGTTGCGATGAGTTTCGCTCTAATATTCACAGCCTCAACTAGACTTGATGTCCAGATTTTGTAATTTTTTTGACACTAAACCAACATAAATATTATACTTATATCATTTTGGCCATAAATATAGGACTATCATAGTTATGAATCATCTTCTCGGCAGAACAAATAATATATTGTGTGAATTTGACGTCAATCGGTCAAGTCGTTCAAAAGTTACACATAGTAACTTTTGAACGACTTGACCGATTGAGGTAACTTACACTATTATTGGATTCAGATTTGTCCTATACAATGAACGTATGTAGTTTACAAGTGGAAGCAGAGTAAGCACCATGTAAGCGCACATATAGTTTAATCGACGAAGATTACCCTCTTGATCCACAATAAGCTGCTCAATTTAATATCAGATCAAAACCCTGCATTCTCCGTCAATATGAATCCTGAGTTTGATTCCCACTAAAAACCATCACTTGGGAGCAAATTGTTCATCTAATTATGCTATGATAGTGATACCTACCAGACACTGCATCTTATCTTCTTTCCAATCCTATAACAAAATCGTGATAGGATTCGAAAGTGTAAACGTTGAACAGGTTAGGTTATAACGACTGTCTCTTTCGTTATATTTTTATAACTTTCCCTATTAATCGATATCGATGTGTTTGGATTGAAATCGCCAGAAAAACTTTTTTTTGAATAAAGTTACAAATATTAATCGAACAGCCCGACATACAATCTAAAAATAAATCTAATGCAAGTCTTTTTACTATTTAACATAAAACGTTTTCACTAAATATTTTGCTTTTCGTATTTCAGTTAATATGACGGAAGAAAGATTAGTAACGGAGGTGCCTAGCAGCTTAAAGCAGCTTGCCAGGCTGGTCGTACGAGGATTTTATACAATTGAAGATGCCCTTATTGTGGATATGCTCGTTAGAAACCCTTGTATGTTCTACATCTCTACTACATTTTATATTATTTGTAAATTAAAGACTGGGTTTTAAATGAAAACATCACATTTGTTTTAGGCATGAAAGAAGACGATATATGCGAGCTATTAAAATTTGAACGGAAGATGTTAAGGGCGAGAATAGCCACATTAAAAAATGACAAATTTATTCAAGTCAGATTAAAAATGGAAACAGGTGAGTTAACCTTCTGATAATTGCAAACAAAACAGTAATACCCATTTTTTTAAAGTTTTATTTGATAATTCCACAATTTAAGATTGGCGGTGGGTAAAGGCTGCTGACGACTGAACACTATAATCGTAAAAGTTGGCTGTTCCACAGTTTCAGAAAAAAATTGACAATGATCGCGACGAAATAATAATTACTTAAAAACTCAAATATTATGCCTTTGATACCAGACATTAGTAATATTTGCTCAATAAAATGTCAACAAAGGGATAGTAAAAAATAGGAGTAACAGGTTTTCCCCTCTATTATAGTTCCTATTCCAAATATATTTTAATCCCACTGTTTTCTGCTTGGAAGCAAACACTTCTGATAACTCTGCTGAAATGATAATACTGCTGCTGTCGAATCTCTTTCTACAGTCGTTCTCTTGGGATTAAATCTACATATTTTCCTGTTTATCAACACAAACTACATTTATATTTATGGATGTATCAAGACTATTTCCTATCGCTGAGGCGTTTAACACATGTTCTGGTATCAACCAGAGATATATCAATATTCAGTTCGGTATGATTGGTTGTATTGAAAACCAATCTGTTGCATATTCTACCTACATTGACTTATTTGTAATAATAATAAAATAATAACTTTATTTCACCAACAACTTTTTACAAATATAAAAATGTAAAGACCCTGTCTGCTAATCCTAATGTAGGTGAACCTGTATCTCAGGAATCTGTGTCCTCCCCAAAATAAATGTACAAACTAAGTACGTAGATGTTCGCAAAAGTAAAAATTCTTCTGTCGTTGTGAAAAATTATACTTCAGACATGTTATATAGTTTGAAATAAACAAATTGGCATAAGTCGACGGGTGATTTATACTGAATCGAGAATGAGTATATATGTGGACAGATCGAGAGATCATTTTAATTTTGTCATACTCGTACCTTCATCTGCATAATACATTCTATTACACTGTCCTCAAAAATAACAAGTGTCTTTACCGAAAATTTCTGAAGCCTTTGTTTTCTTATCTATGATGTATACGTTCCTTTTTGAGAACAATTAAAACGTAACTTAACGTATTTTTTTTAAAATAACTAATTACAGGTCTCGATGGAAAAGCACAAAAAGTCAACTACTACTTTATAAATTACAAAACTTTCGTGAACGTTGTTAAGTACAAATTAGATTTGATGCGCAAACGCATGGAAACCGAGGAAAGGGACGCAACCAGTCGAGCAAGTTTTAAATGCCCCTCGTGCGGGAAAACGTTCACGGACCTTGAAGTAAGATTTATTTTTTAGTTTGTATTAATTTACTTTTATTGGGAAAATAACTTAAATGTTTTGTAATAAACTTCCGTCTATAGCGTCCCTTGCTGACTTTGCCATTCACTTCTGCGATTTGCCTTGTCACTCTTTCCTCGTTCATTCTTATATTTACTCATACTGTAGTTTCAGTCATACTTGAACTATACATAATTCGAAACATGCTTAGATACATTCATTCCTTCATTCATTATAGCCTCCTTATGGAGGCCTAAGTACAGCAGTGGACTTTGATTTTTATAGGTGGCCTTATAAAAGGGATATTTACTACAGTTTCACACCTGGCAGGCGGGTTGGCAACCGCAGTTTTTTTATATTTTCTAATTGATATTAGTAAAGTGCTGCTGCCCACGGGACAGTATATATAGTGGATATTCTTGTACTAAAATAAGTATATTATAATTTTTCCCGATATGAAGTAGGTAATTAAAGCTAGTTACATAAGCAGGCAGATCAGTTCTCCTGCATTTTTAGGTAGTGATTCCAAAGCATGCGTTTAAATAATCAGCATGTATTAGCCTACTGTTCAATCCAAATGAAGCATCCAGCTTTTGCCATAACCTAACTCTGTACACTCTGTTATAGGCCCCTTTCAAGTCAAAATGCACAGAAAACCTTTCAAAATACTTATCCTGATGACCGGTCTTATGGCGCGTCTCCACCTAAGTTTTCAACATTTGTCAACACGTGTTGCCAACAAATGTTTCTGTCAGGCGCGTCTCCACCAAAAATGTTGACAACATTTATATTTCCGACATGTTGACAAATCAACAAAAGTTGACGACATTTGTTTCAAAATGTTGCAAATCAAAGGAATACACTTGTTGCCGACATTTATTCCCTCGGTGGAGACGCTTCTTGCAACATTTTGAAACAAATGTCGTCAATTTTTGTTGATTTGTCAACATGTCGGAAACATAAATGTTGTCAAAATTTTTGGTGGAGACGCGCCTTTAAAGACCTGATACGTACACTCCAACCCCTTTCTAAATCCAGCATGCACATCCCAAATTTTTCCGTCATTTTCTTTTATAACTTTTTCAATCAACACGTTAGCATACACAATTTTCTGATAGTTCTAAGCTGACTGATTTTACCGTAGTTTTTAGTCCTACTGTGGCTCTTTTCCGGCCATTCGGCCAATCTTTGTCTACGAGAGAGGAAGGAGGCTTAAACATCTATTAATAATGTTTCAGGCAGATCAGCTATACGATATGATGACGCAAGAATTTCGGTGCACGTTTTGCAGCCAAGTAGTCGAGGAAGATCAATCGGCACTTCCTAAAAAGGATTCCAGATTGCTTTTGGCCAAATTTAATGAGCAATTGGAAACTCTTTATATACTACTGAGGGAAGTGGAAGGCATCAAATTGGCTCCAGAAATATTAGAACCAGAACCAGTGGATATTAATACTATTAGAGGGTATTTAATATTCAAATATTACTATTACGTAAAAACAATATTTCATTAACATTGGCTCTATATTCACACACTCTTCTATAAGAGGTCAGCGAGGTTTGAATAGAATTCTTTGGTGGCTCGAGCACTGTGGCTAAGAGTAGTGGTTGCATTTTCGGTGAGCCAGCTGAGCCGCGTCTTTGAACCATGAACGGAACAAACGTTTGTATAATCTATAAATAGTTGTTTCGGATCTAGATGTTTGTCCATGTGCCATTTATGTATGTAGAAGGATTATGATACAGGAAAATATTCTAGTGTTTAGTGTAGTCTAGAGAACACTCGTGCACCGATCAGTTACATCGCCTCACAGAATACATTCTGAAAGGATTTAACCTCCCAAGAAAAAATCGTAGAACCACTATTATCGGTGCCCTCTTCTTCGATGTCGCAAAAGCGTTAGATAGTCTGGCACGGCGACTTGTTTTACAAGCTGTATAAACTCAACGAGCCTGATAGGCTTATTCACATAATCAGATCAGAGCTTTTTTTGCCAATCGCCACTTTCGTTATCGTATAGACGGTACTCGCTCTACAAAGCGTCCCCTCAAGGCTGTAGTCCCACGGGGATACGTCCTCTCCCCGCTTTGCTTTACACTTTTCATGAGTGACATCCCGAAGTACCCAGTAGTGAATACTGCTCTTTTCGCCGATGATACGACACTTTTCGTCGCCCATCATATCAAAAGTAGGACACCTCAACATATTCTTAAGAAATCCATGAACATATTTAAGTTATTATACAGGATTATTTTGCAATAACAGGCCAAATTAACAGAGAAGGTTCAGAATGGTGAAGAAAGATTAATTTAAAAAAAAATCTCAAACATTTTGTCCTTTTTATCTTTTAACCCTTTGCCTGTTCCGTGCATTACATGTAATTAATTGCTATTGTCTTACTATTGTGTTCGCAAATTGGACAGTCAGTGTTAAATTCAAAATGCGTATGCGTAATGCATTATTTTAACTGATTGTCATTCATAAATATCTATTTTACTACGCACGCACACATTTGTAAGTGTCTATTGGTCGGCGAAAATACACAGGAGCGCATGTACGGATAATTGTTGCCTATAAATCAAATTTAATTTGGGATTATTTCAAATAAAAGTAGAATCCTTATTTATTCGTATTTTCAAAAACTGCAATTACGGTATATCATTATTTATATATTTGAACTTAAATTTAAAATTTGGCTACTCTGAAATATAACCCTGTATATTATTTAAAAGTTTTTTGGCAGAAGGCTTTGTAGCCAATTCTACGATAAATTAAAAAAAAAACTACGTCCGTTCGTACAATCAGGTTGACGATGAAGCAACCGGCGAACCGCGGCGCGGGCGAGCAGTGGTCGGGCGACGCGACGCGCCACCAGGGGCTGGCGGTGGAGGAGACGCGCGTCGACGTCACCATCGGCGAGAGCGACGTCGCCGACCCCACGCAGCGCAAGGAGCGCCCCGTCTGGATGGTGGAGAGCACCGTGCTCGCCAACGACCAGGTACACGTCGTCTGCACGGTGGAGAGCACCGTGCTCGCCAACGACCAGGTACACGTCGTCTGCACGGTGGAGAGCACCGTGCTCGCCAACGACCAGGTACACGTCGTCTGCACGGTGGAGAGCACCGTGCTCGCCAACGACCAGGTACACGTCGTCTGCACGGTGGAGAGCACCGTGCTCGCCAACGACCAGGTACACGTCGTCTGCACGGTGGAGAGCACCGTGCTCGCCAACGACCAGGTACACGTCGTCTGCACGGTGGAGAGCACCGTGCTCGCCAACGACCAGGTACACGTCGTCTGCACGGTGGAGAGCACCGTGCTCGCCAACGACCAGGTACACGTCGTCTGCACGGTGGAGAGCACCGTGCTCGCCAACGACCAGGTACACGTCGTCTGCACGGTGGAGAGCACCGTGCTCGCCAACGACCAGGTACACGTCGTCTGCACGGTGGAGAGCACCGTGCTCGCCAACGACCAGGTACACGTCGTCTGCACGGTGGAGAGCACCGTGCTCGCCAACGACCAGGTACACGTCGTCTGCACGGTGGAGAGCACCGTGCTCGCCAACGACCAGGTACACGTCGTCTGCACGGTGGAGAGCACCGTGCTCGCCAACGACCAGGTACACGTCGTCTGCACGGTGGAGAGCACCGTGCTCGCCAACGACCAGGTACACGTCGTCTGCACGGTGGAGAGCACCGTGCTCGCCAACGACCAGGTACACGTCGTCTGCACGGTGGAGAGCACCGTGCTCGCCAACGACCAGGTACACGTCGTCTGCACGGTGGAGAGCACCGTGCTCGCCAACGACCAGGTACACGTCGTCTGCACGGTGGAGAGCACCGTGCTCGCCAACGACCAGGTACACGTCGTCTGCACGGTGGAGAGCACCGTGCTCGCCAACGACCAGGTACACGTCGTCTGCACGGTGGAGAGCACCGTGCTCGCCAACGACCAGGTACACGTCGTCTGCACGGTGGAGAGCACCGTGCTCGCCAACGACCAGGTACACGTCGTCTGCACGGTGGAGAGCACCGTGCTCGCCAACGACCAGGTACACGTCGTCTGCACGGTGGAGAGCACCGTGCTCGCCAACGACCAGGTACACGTCGTCTGCACGGTGGAGAGCACCGTGCTCGCCAACGACCAGGTACACGTCGTCTGCACGGTGGAGAGCACCGTGCTCGCCAACGACCAGGTACACGTCGTCTGCACGGTGGAGAGCACCGTGCTCGCCAACGACCAGGTACACGTCGTCTGCACGGTGGAGAGCACCGTGCTCGCCAACGACCAGGTACACGTCGTCTGCACGGTGGAGAGCACCGTGCTCGCCAACGACCAGGTACACGTCGTCTGCACGGTGGAGAGCACCGTGCTCGCCAACGACCAGGTACACGTCGTCTGCACGGTGGAGAGCACCGTGCTCGCCAACGACCAGGTACACGTCGTCTGCACGGTGGAGAGCACCGTGCTCGCCAACGACCAGGTACACGTCGTCTGCACGGTGGAGAGCACCGTGCTCGCCAACGACCAGGTGCACGTCGTCTGCACGGTGGAGAGCACCGTGCTCGCCAACGACCAGGTGCACGTCGTCTGCACGGTGGAGAGCACCGTGCTCGCCAACGACCAGGTGCACGTCGTCTGCACGGTGGAGAGCACCGTGCTCGCCAACGACCAGGTGCACGTCGTCTGCACGGTGGAGAGCACCGTGCTCGCCAACGACCAGGTGCACGTCGTCTGCACGGTGGAGAGCACCGTGCTCGCCAACGACCAGGTACACGTCGTCTGCACGGTGGAGAGCACCGTGCTCGCCAACGACCAGGTACACGTCGTCTGCACGGTGGAGAGCACCGTGCTCGCCAACGACCAGGTACACGTCGTCTGCACGGTGGAGAGCACCGTGCTCGCCAACGACCAGGTACACGTCGTCTGCACGGTGGAGAGCACCGTGCTCGCCAACGACCAGGTACACGTCGTCTGCACGGTGGAGAGCACCGTGCTCGCCAACGACCAGGTACACGTCGTCTGCACGGTGGAGAGCACCGTGCTCGCCAACGACCAGGTACACGTCGTCTGCACGGTGGAGAGCACCGTGCTCGCCAACGACCAGGTACACGTCGTCTGCACGGTGGAGAGCACCGTGCTCGCCAACGACCAGGTACACGTCGTCTGCACGGTGGAGAGCACCGTGCTCGCCAACGACCAGGTACACGTCGTCTGCACGGTGGAGAGCACCGTGCTCGCCAACGACCAGGTACACGTCGTCTGCACGGTGGAGAGCACCGTGCTCGCCAACGACCAGGTACACGTCGTCTGCACGGTGGAGAGCACCGTGCTCGCCAACGACCAGGTACACGTCGTCTGCACGGTGGAGAGCACCGTGCTCGCCAACGACCAGGTACACGTCGTCTGCACGGTGGAGAGCACCGTGCTCGCCAACGACCAGGTACACGTCGTCTGCACGGTGGAGAGCACCGTGCTCGCCAACGACCAGGTACACGTCGTCTGCACGGTGGAGAGCACCGTGCTCGCCAACGACCAGGTACACGTCGTCTGCACGGTGGAGAGCACCGTGCTCGCCAACGACCAGGTACACGTCGTCTGCACGGTGGAGAGCACCGTGCTCGCCAACGACCAGGTACACGTCGTCTGCACGGTGGAGAGCACCGTGCTCGCCAACGACCAGGTACACGTCGTCTGCACGGTGGAGAGCACCGTGCTCGCCAACGACCAGGTACACGTCGTCTGCACGGTGGAGAGCACCGTGCTCGCCAACGACCAGGTACACGTCGTCTGCACGGTGGAGAGCACCGTGCTCGCCAACGACCAGGTACACGTCGTCTGCACGGTGGAGAGCACCGTGCTCGCCAACGACCAGGTACACGTCGTCTGCACGGTGGAGAGCACCGTGCTCGCCAACGACCAGGTACACGTCGTCTGCACGGTGGAGAGCACCGTGCTCGCCAACGACCAGGTACACGTCGTCTGCACGGTGGAGAGCACCGTGCTCGCCAACGACCAGGTACACGTCGTCTGCACGGTGGAGAGCACCGTGCTCGCCAACGACCAGGTACACGTCGTCTGCACGGTGGAGAGCACCGTGCTCGCCAACGACCAGGTACACGTCGTCTGCACGGTGGAGAGCACCGTGCTCGCCAACGACCAGGTACACGTCGTCTGCACGGTGGAGAGCACCGCGCTCGCCAACGACCAGGTACACGTCGTCTGCACGGTGGAGAGCACCGCGCTCGCCAACGACCAGGTACACGTCGTCTGCACGGTGGAGAGCACCGCGCTCGCCAACGACCAGGTACACGTCGTCTGCACGGTGGAGAGCACCGCGCTCGCCAACGACCAGGTACACGTCGTCTGCACGGTGGAGAGCACCGCGCTCGCCAACGACCAGGTACACGTCGTCTGCACGGTGGAGAGCACCGCGCTCGCCAACGACCAGGTACACGTCGTCTGCACGGTGGAGAGCACCGTGCTCGCCAACGAAACATCTATTCAAAAATACTGAACGCAAAGAGCAAACATCCACAAGTGTGGCATGGACATATTTTCTAAGAAATCACGCCTGATGCTTGTATTAAAAAAGGTCTCACGTAGGCCCAATCTTTGGACTTTAGAAGTTGAAGAAGAAGAATAAAGATCTAATAGCGTCACCAATTCTTCTTGAAATTGACTTATGTTTTTACAATCTTTCTAAATTCGGGTTAGTCTATAAAATGCTGCGTATTTTGATATGAAATGTTTCAAGAAATTCTTTGTAGTTTCTTTTCAATAAATGATATAAAATATCCTTACCTAGGTTTTTTCTTTGGTTATGGACTCATACGGTTATACTTCTGCCAGTGTCAAGTAATAAGAAATTATCCTTTAAAATTATTTATTTCAAAACCCTCTACACGATATTCCGATGCGTCACATTGAGAAGTTATTGGGAGATTTTGACGACAGTTTGGCTCAACGGACGGTTACGACAGTATCTCATGTTGTTAAGGCGCCTAAGCGGACAAATTAACTTGAGGTTTATACCAACGTCGGAACACTTGTTTCACTAAAAGTTCACATGCGCAAACACTTAATACACAAAATCACTTTTACGTATCAAAATCCACTTCAAACCACTATTTAAACGATAAAACAGGAGCAACAATCCGCTGGCGCTCAAATTCCCGCCAAAACTCTATCCCTCAGTTATAATTATATTTATATGAATATTTTTTTACAGAGCGACAGTGTGCATTCGTCAGACATGGCGCTTGAAAAAGCTGCTAGTAACGCCAGTAATACGAAAGGCGCTGGAAAAGAGAAGAACGACGATATTATGTCAGTCCTTCTTGCACACGAGAAGCAGAACACACAAGGTTTAGTAACAAAATTAGTTCATTACTTTTGCTATTATAATTAAATTTTTGTACTGTCATTCCACGATTTGTCGGACCACAAGGTATTTCTATTATTGTCTTTAATAGCCAATGTACAACAACTTAGGAAATAGATGGGAAAAGGGGAATGGTTTCGTCTGCACTGCACGGTGATATTCGCTTACTTATTACATAATATAAAAATAATTACATAAATAACTAGGTTTTTGTATATTTAACCATAGAGCAACACGGGCCACCGGCAAACCGGAGGGGAGTAGCGATAACGTTTTTTTCCGATACAGAATTGTCAGTCACAATCGTCTGTCACTACGAAATTCACACATAACCAAACAATAAACTAACAGTTTCACAAACACATAGATACTTTATAACAGCATCACTCGGTGACAGCGACAACCCGGACTCGACCGATCTGTATATTGTATGAGGGCGAGCGGTCTGTGTTGCTAAACAAATCCGAAACAATACTACCGTTATTACTATAATTTTGAACTTGAAAAAGAAGTAAATAGAAATAATCTGATTATAATTTTTTTTTTGTAAATTTAACGTGGCAGATCTCTTTTTGCAGCAAAAAACTGAAGAATTCGGCATTTTTGTAGGACGTCGATTCAGCCGCGCAAATGGATTTAGTTTCGTGAGCAGTGCGGCTGCCAAACAAATATTTTTTCTTATACTTTGATAGAGGGGAACGCCTGTGTATGACTACTCCCCTCCGATCCGCGCAGGCCCGTGTTGCTCTGTGATATAAAATGTCAATACTTTACGACCAAATATTATTGAGCTTGTGTAAACTTGTGTTTAGTTTGTAAATAATACCTAAGTGTCCATACATATACAAACAGTTAAAATAATTTTTTGTAGTTGAACATATAAAAAAAAAACATGCATGAGTGTCGTGAAACACTCGGTTGGAACAAAGTTCCTATCGTAGTATATTATTATTGATAAACGTACATATTATTGATTAACAAATGCAAATAAATGAATTACTTGCGTCTATTGAAATGAACCGTCTTTTAAAATAAAATATTTATTTAAAAATAAAACAAAGTGCGAGGGAGATGGATATTATTCCATCTCGCTTCCTTATAGCCGCCAAGGCCGTCTATACTAACGGCGCCTCTCCACGTTGGCCAACACAGTGGCGAATGTGTTGGCAGAGTTATTGGCCAAGAAATTGTGATCGCGTCCACACGTTGGAAGGTCGTTCAGTTTGCTTCGGTTCAGGCCAATGTGCGGACGAATTTATAAAAATGATTATTGATGCGCTAACGGCTGCTGCGGTTTATTTATTCACAGCATACCACTATTTTTTTATTTAATTTTCACTATTTTTTATATTTAATATTTTTAATATAAATTTTTAATATTTCTTTATTATACACTAACGTTATACAGATAAGTGAACTATATAAGCATTAACACACCTAGGCATAGGTATAATTAACACTTTTACAACTAAGGCCTGGAAAATATTCGAAGCCTGTCTATGAAACTGTTGTCAAATTTTATTAAACAAAACCTTTTTAAAAAGGGTTATTCTTATTATATAATTATAGAATAAAACTTAATAATAATAATAAATAATTTATTTCGTCAAATATTAAAGTTACATTATATGATCAGTGATCGAGGTCACCTATTAAGCAAAATAATGCCTGTAACAGGTGACTTCGCTCTTCCATAGCTAAAAATTACAGTATTATTAACGAAATAAAGTAACTAATAGGGAATAATAAAGACAGTAAAAGCATGATTTTAGTATCCTACTTTTTAATTTGATTTTAATATATATTATATATTTTAAGATATTTAATAAATCAATTAATACATCAATAAATAAATTAATACACAATTAATTACTACAACGTGAATGTGTATAAGATAAGGGTGATCGAAAAGAAATGGAAAAAAGAAATTTTATTTCTTGACGGCTCCGTGGCGTAGTGGCTTAGCAATGAGTTGCTGCCACTACGCCACGCCATGTTTGTCCTTATGCAATTTATGTTTCTAAACTGCCTCCACGATACAGGAGAAAATCCTAATGTATAATAACATTTTTTTAAAAAAGACTTGTGTTTTACAAACAATTTTCGGCTTAGTAGGGCTCTATAAAGCGAAAAGTTTTTTCATTGGTTATTGTTACTGCCGTTATGTAGACACTAGTTACGATGCGTGCATATAAAATTTAAATCAGGTGCGTGCAATCACTCTGGGAGCTCGTAGCAAACTGAACGTGCGCCCAACGTGTGGACGCGACGGCCAATACTCTGCCACAACCCTTTGATCTTTTGCAAAAAACCGACACCACACGGATCTCGCGCCAACTTGTGGGCCATCGTTCCAATACATACCAACGTAGCTTAAACACCCGCTCTACACGATGGCCATCGTTGTGGGCCATCACATTCGCCAGTGTGTTCGCCAACGTGAAGAGCCGCCGTCTCGCGCCAACTTGTGGGCCATCGTTCCAATACGTACTGTTATGTCCAACCCTATTTAGTTAAAAGCGCTGACCCGATTATTTTATTTCGTATATAAGCGTAGTGTTTGAGGTAATCGAGGCAGTGCAGCTCCAACCCATATTAAGTGCATATCGCACACGCCGTTCGCGGCTTTAGTACATTTTTTGTATTATTTTAATATTGGGGAAATAAACCAAAAGAACTTCCGGGATTGGGTATAAAAGATTTTTTTAAAAACACCTTCAGAGCGGCCCTCCTAACAGTACCAACGTAGCTTAAACACCCGCTCTACACGATGGCCATCGTTGTTGGCCAACACATTCGCCAGTGTGTTGGCCAACGTGAAGAGCCGCCGTAAGTCAGAAGGGGTCGTGATGGAAAATGTTTACACTTTTTGTCGCCTAGCCCTCATACTCCAAATTCGTACCAATAACTTTATTCGCCCTACCGTTGCTGATATTCTTGTAATATCTAACTGGTCTCAGACCTGAACTGTATGCCAGTGTACCTCTATTTTTTGAACAGATTCAAAAAATCGGTTTTGTATTCGACCAGTACTTATGTAAAATATGTCCGAGATTTTTTTTTTAATTACTGAACTTATTTTTCAGTTATATAAACTAGGTACATATTCTTAGGAAACTTTTGGTGTATAACCACAGAATAAATAATAGTGGTATAACTCTAAATTATTAGTTGTATTAGTAAAATATGCAAATAGGTCTTTAGTCTTTACCTATGAAATTGCCGTTTTTATGAAATAAGTTAACGTAATTTTTTTCCATAGTTATAACCTAGTAACTATGGAAAATCCATAACGCAGTGACAGTTTATTGATGCCCTTGTTGAACAAATCAGCTGGACGGGAGGCAACTAATTCATCAAATGCATTTTGTACTGCCTCTCGGGTATTGAATTTTTTTCTCGTATAAAAGTTATCCAAATTCTGGAAAAACTATATATAGAAGTCTATAAGCGCAAGGTCTGGTGAGTTTGGCGGATTACGGAGAACTTCCAATCCCAGCTCTTGTAACTTGGAGACCGTCTGTTGTACAGTATGAGATCGCGCGTTATCGTGCAGGAGCAGCGGGGAAGAGCGATTGACCAAAGCTGGTAGGAGACGTGCGAGCTTCTACATCATTGTGTTCAGTTCTTCACAGTACACATCTGCAGTATTGCTCATCCTGTTTTGTAAGAAGCTGTGATGAATCACACCGGCAAAACCACCAAACAGTGGCTATCATTTTTCTAGGGGTAAATTTTCGTTTAGGACAATATTCTGGTGCCGAACAAGATTCCAACCAACTTGCCGAGCGCTTGCGATTTTCAAATAGAATCCATTTTTCGTCGCAGGTAACAATGGTCTATGGTCGTCTAAGAAGGCCCGGTCGGGTAAGTCGGCCTATAGGCGACTAAGTCGGTCGGGGCGTCTAAGTTGGCCTATCTGCGGCATTGCGGGTTATTACTCGACTCTCTAACTAAACTGACCATTTATTTTTTAACATATATATATATATATATATATATAACCTATTTATCCTTACGAACGAAAGTTACTTCATCATCAAGACAATTTTATGAAGATAAACTTTGTTCTTTATACCATGTTATTTGGACGCATAGTTTAAGAGATAATGTAAAAATAAAATAATTCAATACTTGGCTGGCCCCGCGAACGACACATAAACCCTAGCCGCCCGGTGAGAACTGCGAGAACTGCTCAACCGGGAGGGGGAGGGAAAGTGGATAAAACTTAACTTCGCTCTACATCATACATAATATGCCGACAGAGAAAAGTACTCCATTAATTATGCCAATTTTTCCATCTATTGCTATCAAATAAAATATTTAATTGCAATTATAAAATTGCTTGAACTAGGTCATGTCACGCACCTCCGACACGTGATGACGCGGGTGAAACCGCGGGGCACAGCTAGTTCAATAATATTACGTCGCAGAAAAATATTTGAAGTGGGTACTGCTTGAATTTCCATGCTATGGCGCGAAGATTTCAGCCATTTTTGCGTCAATTGCCTTTGGTAAACCTTGACCTCAAAGAGGCTGGGTAGTGATCGAAATGCCTTCGCTTCGCGGAAACCCCTGTCTTAAACAAATTACACCATGTATAATGTGAAACCTTTTAAGAATACGCCCTCAGATTATTTAGCCTATTGACGATTTGCCAAGTGTTATTTATGTTTCCTCATAATGTGTATAAACTAAAGCAAAATTAAATTACTACGGAACGTACATATTTGATTTATTTTTGTGCACGATAAAATAACGCTGCATAAGCCATACTGTTTATACTTATCTTATAATTAGGTACTCCTATAACTAAATTGCTCAACCATTTTTGGTGATAATATGTCACGCAAATAAAGTTCTAATTCATTTTATTGTTGTTGTAGGAAACAATGTTTCTAATGCTTTGAAGGGGATTGATCCAGACAGTTCCGATTCCAGTGACAATGAATCCAAGGATCCATATAAACTTAAAGACGAGCTCGCCGCTGTCGGTAAGTTAAAGTGTATATTATATTACGTAAATTTTTCTCAAGTAAGGGTTGTTTTAAAAAGTTATTCATAAGATTAAAACAACCAAATAATTTTTTTTTTGTATCAATAAAATAGTTCCATTGATTCACTTTTATTATTCATACATATTCCGTTGCCGTTACATCCTATTGATAAGTCCACTGCTGAACATAGGCCTTCCCCACAGATTGAGTCATAGGGGGGATATTTGCCATAGTTGTCACGCTTAGCAAGCGGGACGGCAACCGCAGTTTTTTTTATTTTTAGTCGTTACTAAGAAAACGTTGCTGCCCATCTCCTGACTTGTTTCCCTCTGTCGTCTCTTATGACACCCACGGAATGGATGACATGGACATGGATGATGGACATGGGTAGTGGATATTCTTACACCGCCACTATTCGGAAGGTTAAAATTACTTGATGCTTAGATTAATCCTAAGAGACGACTTTTATTCCATGGGATAACTTTTATCTAATGATTTAATCAAGTTGAATCAAGTAACAAACGTTTGATGTTTTTTCTAAGCTAATTTTACCTCAGCGTCAACTTCAGAATATTGTAGCAAAATCTATCAATTGTGCAATAAATACTATACCTAGAGCCTAGTACGACAATAAATGCCTACCGAACGGGAGTTTTTTTTAAATTTATTTATATTTAATCCAAGTAACGAAGATCAAAGATAGGCTTGGTGATAGTTCGAAACGACAAAACCCAAAACATTATTCATTACAATTGCTATTTTTTTTTAATCATGTTCATTGCTTTTCGTATACGTCAGTTCCGAAAAAGGTTTTTTTTAAAATATCTATATATTATGCCAAAAAGACACAAGAAAAAAAGAAGTCCTCGAAAAGACAACATGTTTCCTTATATTTTCATTCACCCCCGTCTACGTGGTAAATCAGCATCTAAAATTTCGAATAACATTTTCATTTGCGTTGTAAAGTTAGCTTACACTTTATACTAATTACTATGAAATTTTAATTTTTAAGGTTGGTGCATATATTATATTACTTTCCTTAAAATATCATCTCTAATATTCCAGCCGAGATGGAAAGCGAAGATTCAGAATCCGATGACAACGCACCCACCGTTATGGTGAATGGCAAACCGGTGCCTCTGACTAGCGTCGATGATGACGTCATCGCCAAGATGTCACCATCCGAAAAGGAAACATATATACAGATTTATCAGGAATACTACAGCCACATGTATGATTAGACTTAGACAATGTGTAAAATTACATTGTTCCAAAATTTTCAATAAAGAATGTGTCTATATCAGTGATGTCTTGTCTTTTTTTTGAAAATTAAAATTAAATAACGAGACTATAACAGATCCACAGAAAATAGCCACTGCTTTTAATAATTATTTTATTGAAAAAAGTTATCCCATTATTAAACTCAGGAAATAAGGCTACCTCACAAATTTCAAATAGTTAAATAACATTATTCATCTCCATTGTTTGCCATAGGATGTAGATAAAATAATAACTACATTAAAAAACACGAACAGCGTGTCATGACGGAATCTCTAATTCTTAAATCTGTTTCTGTAGAAATATGTACACATTTAAGTCACCTCATTAATTTATAAGCACTGGCATTTTTCCAGATGCCTTAAAAATCGATCGAATAACCCATGTTTAAAAAAGAGAATAGAGAATCCATGGAATTTTACAGACCAATTACGCTTATTAGTATTATCTCCAAAATTTATCTACAAGGAAATAAGTATCTGGAAAAAAAATAACATACTCGTTAACGAGCAAAAAGGATTAAGAGAAAACCGAACTATAAACATGGTAATCTATGATTTCTTATATAATGTATAAACTAACGTTGATAAAACTTACCCTGTCTGTACAGTTTTTTGTGACATGACCCAGCCTTTTGATTATGTCTGACACGATATTTTGTTGGATAAACTGGAGACATATGGGGTTCGAGGTAATGTGCTAAAACGAATATCATATTTATACAACATAAAGCAAATCACTGGAATAGCCTCAATAAATGTAAAAACTAAATATGAAGAAATATTTTAATCGCATGAACGAGTAGTTAAATATGGAGTACCACAGGGAAGTGTGTTAGGCCTCCTACTATTCTTGTTGTACATAAACGACTTACCTAAATCCGTTGATCAACCAGTAACACTCTTTGCTGCTGACAGTACCATAACAATTAAATGCAATAAGGATAGCTATAATAACGACATTAATAATTCTCTTATTTGGGGCGGGGGTTAGTCTACTCCTAATTCTCACATTTTTACATTATCAGTAGAATAGAAAAAAATTTATTCAATACGGATTACAGTGCATAATACTTATTGAAAAACCTTTTTTACTTTTAGCATTGGTTTGCAAAAAACCTTTGTCCTGGGAAGAACCAGCAAGAAACCCATCGGTACTTTTTTTAAACACAATTTACAATATAATATTTTATACAATTTTATTAAAACATTTAGAAACATCATGGTAGCGATTCCCAGGGGAACTGTTATCAGTCGTGTACTCTTTAGTAGTATAATAACTCTTACTAGACAATTTTTGCTTAATAAATAATTTAAACCTTTTGATAGAAAAAATCTGTATATTTTCTGGGACTTTGTTGTAAAAGCATACGCTTGTATACACATTGCCCCATAAAGGAATTACTGACTCCTTGGAGTCGAGTAACTGGTATAACCACAGAATAAATAAGTATAACTTGTGTTTATTCCTAGTATTTACAGAATGTACATCATTATTTTTAATAAAACTATTTTTGTTTGTTTTTGTGTACATACATTAAATTCTCGTCAATATATTGAGAGGTCAAAGTTAATAATTATAACTTTTTTCTGATCCCATATGATATTATGGAAATAATTAAATAAACTAATCTAGCTGTTTTATCACATGTAAGGCATCTAATCTTTTTACAGCATATGCTGCAGAACTAAGTTTGCTAGCTAGTTTAGATATATGAGGGCCTCATTGAAGCTCCGCGTCAACTGTAATACCGAGAAAAACAGTGGATTCAACAAGGCCCAGCTCCTCCCCATTTAAAAGCACACTGGTATTCACCTTTTTAACATTAGGTGTAGTGAATTTAATACATTTCGTTTTATTACCGTTCAAAAGCAAATTATTGACGTTAAACCAGTGTACTTTTGATATAGTACTCACTCACTTCGCCATATTTCAATAATTGCCCTGTTTGTCGGAAAATCAACGAAGTATCATCTTCCAGAGGAGGCGACTGTGCTGTTGAGGGCACAAAATAAAGGGATCCATACCGAGCTCTGGAAAATCATCCACCGTAGGGAGGAGGAGAATGGGTTCCTAGTAACCTTTTCTCTGGACGACCCATCGGCGGAGGCTCTCCGGGCGGCAGGCGGCAGAGTCGTCCTTGGCTTTAAGATGATAACTTTTAAGGTCAGGGGAGGCTCTGACGCGACAATGGAGCCTGAACCGCCCCAACTCTAATACCCCCAGCCCTCCACTTCGAGGGGTGACACTGGAACGACATTAGCGAGAGTGACTGTGAGCCAAGGCTCTGTTTCGCCTCGGTCCGAGGGCCTATACTGGTGTCGGCCAGGGGTAAGGGAAAGGGAGGTGGGACCGATAAATCAAAAGGTACGGCGGGGGTTAAGAGCACCGGTATAGGACGTCTTCGTGTTAAGCATGGCATGACTTAAGCATTTTACACGTGATAGAGCCATTCTGCAGCTATATTAATTGTATAGTTGTAGCGCGAATGGGTCGGCTCGACCGGGGAAGGACCACGCTCTCACAGAATACTAGCGTAAAATAACAGCTTAATGCTGCTGTTTCGTATGGTGAGTGTAGAGAACCGCAGACCCTTTTTACTGGAAATGAGGCATTCCATCTTAGTCCTCACGAGTGACAACGCATCTGCATTTTGATTTGTAATCGAGGATAGATGTAGATGTCTATGGGCCGCAGCAACCACTTACCATCAGGTGGACTGTGCTCGCTTGTGACCCTTATCCTATAAAAAGCAGGCGAAAACGACTCCTGCTCCCACGCCTATAAATGGTTAACCCCAAGGGTAAGAAGAGGGTCCTCCAAGCAAATCTTCACCATGCAGCAGCTGCTTCTGCCGTGGTGGAGGTTTGCTTCGCAGAGTACAACATCGACCTCGCCCTCATACAAGAGTCTTGGGTGCTCAACGGTCAAGTTCTCGACTGCCGGTAAGATCTTAGTCAATACAAAAGGCAGTAGACCCAGAGCTTGTATAATCTACAATAAAAAGATTGAACTTTTAGCTGTTCCAGAGTAAAAAAGGAGTAAAGCAATGATGACCTGGTCTTTTTAAATCCTTTATAAATCTTAAGGGATGCACAGGGCCAGAGTAATCACTTGCTCAGCCTATCTTCCCGGAGAGAACCCAGAACCTTGCATCGAGTTAGGGCGAGTGGCGGAGTTCGCCCGTAAGCACAACGCCGAACTTGTGGTGGGATGTGATGCTAATGCTCACCACCACACAGCATGGGGAAGCACTAACATCAGCGAAAGAGTTACTTTTTGACTTTCTCATATCCAATCGCCTGGTAAGTCTAAACTTAGGGTGTACACCAAACTTTGTAACGCGTGCTAGGCAGGAAGTTTTAGATATAACCTTTGCTACCAATAACATATCCAGGCGGATTACTGACTGGCATGTTAGTAGTGAAAACTCGATGTCTGATCACAGACATATTAAGCTTGTCATTGAGCATCACCAACTTATGAAACTGTTGCTTTTAGGGATCCAAAAACGACCTCCTGGGATGTCTACAGAGATAGCCTAAGGATGAATTTGGAAACGTTTCCTAAAAGCATAAAAACGATTGAAGGTCTGGAGTTAGCGGCGGAGACGGTAACCGTGGGTGTCTGTGAAGTCTTCGAAGACAGTTGTCCTGTCAAAACCAAGACCTCAACACGAAAAGTTCCTTGGTGGAACACTAAGCTAAATGAGCTTAGGAAAAAGATCAGGAATCTATTCAATAGGGCTTTAAAAAAACCCAGAGAATGGTATATTTATAGTGCAGCCCTAACCGATTATAATAAAGAAATTAGGAAATCTAAGAGAGCATCGTGGAGGAAGTTATGCTAGGAAGTTGAGTCTTTGCCTCGCAGTGCAAGACTACACGAAATGCTATCGAAAGCTAAACCTAATCAGATCGGGCTTCGTAAATAAAGCCTGATGGTAACTTCACTAATAGTGAAACGGAAACACTGGACCTACTTGCGTCAACCCATTTTCCAGGGTTACATAAGACGCTATCCTCGAACTCTTTCAGAGCCCTACGAAAGCCTTGTAATGAGGACTTGTGTAGGGCTACAAAGATGATAAGGCCAAACCTGGCGCAGTGGGCTGTTGACTCCTTTAAACCATATAAGACAAATGGGGAGGATGGAATAATGCCCATCCATTTATAGAGGGTTATCGATATCCTTCTTCCTTATCTGGTGAAAATCTTCAAAGCAAGTTTTGGCATGGGGATATATTCCAGAACGATGGACAATTATCAAAGTTATATTTATACCTAAGGCTTGTAGAAAGGACTACGTTTTACCAAAGTTCTTTAGACCTATAAGCCTTTCTTCCTTTCTTCTTAAGATATTGGAAAAGGTTATAGATAGATATATAAGTAATGTAGCTCTAGCTACGAGACCTACACACGACAACCAGCATGCTTACCGCAGAGGCAAATCTACGGAAATGATCAGGATAAAGAAATAGCTCTTTGCGCTTTTCTAGACTTTGAGGGCGCCTCCGACAGCAGCCCTATATCACTGTTGGTTGGGAGCATGACATCTAAAAATATTGACCACACAACCATCAGGTGAGTGAAGTCGATGCTCTCAAACAGAAAGGCAAAAAAAATAGAGCTGTTTCACACTTTGATTGAGATTGCAACTACTAGAGGCTGTCCACGAGGTGGTGTTTTGTCACCCCTACTTTGGACTCTTGCGGTTGACCAATTATTGTACAAGATGGCAGACCTTCACCTTCGCATTGACACAGTGGGTTATGCTGATGACCTTGTGATCATTGCGAGGGGCTTTTGCCAAAGTACTTTATCATAAATCATACAAAGAGCCCTAAACACCATAAACAACTGGTGCAGGGATAACAGTTTATCAGTTAATGCTGATAAACCTGTTCTAATACCCTTTACCAAAAAGAGACGGTTGAACAAATTAGTCACACCAAAACTTAATG